GACCTGCTGCCTGTCACTGGAAATACAACACCTCTAATAAGTGAGTGACACCTGTGATATATTGTTGTATAGGATTAACCACTGTGGCCAATTCTTCTTCTTGACCAGATGCCATTGTTGACCAATTAATACCTTGTCCTCTGATGGCTCCTCTGGCAACTAAATTTTAACTTAATATAAATGTGAATATGCTCTCTGCCCTTGATAATTAAAGTTAAAATGAAAAATGTCTCTTTACTTCTTAATTGTTTTGTTTGTTTTGCTGCAGATGTTTTATTCTCAGTCAGTCTGGCTCTGATGGTGGCCAGCCTGTTGGAGACAGTGTTTATCACCAACATCCAGTTCAGCGCCAGCAAGTACAGAAAGGTGCCTCACTGGCTCAGTGTCCTTGTGCTACGATATCTTGCTGTTGTTGTTTGTCTCCCTCCAAAAAAGACGAGCAACCGCATCACAGTCTCCCTTCACCCACCTGCTAGAGGTACAATACATCATCATGATTATTTTTGTATTACTTCTGTCACTATTACTGCTACTTCATCTTATTTTTGGTCACTGAGCCTATGGCCCGCTGATGTAGGTATTGAAATAGGCCTTGATATATATTTGCAGTATTATGAACTGGGTGTAATAAGTTATTGCTAATGCAAACTAAACATTTCTTTTTGCTGCTGACTTCACATTAAAAACATTTCACTGGTGAAAGACTACTTGACTTTCATTGTTAGTAGTCAAAGGAAATGCAATTTCCATTCATCATGGTTTCTGTTTCCTCTTTGCCCGAATCAAAGAATCAGGGGTTTTTTAAAAGTGTGTGGTGCAGTGCTTTGCAAGCAGTAGTTGGTGTACACTGTCTACCAGGTGCTTTACAAATCCGTGACAACATGGAGCCAAGGATTTTCACCCTATGAGCTGTTGTAGCAATACCTAAAATTAGAAGAAACAAAATACCATTGCATTTACATTAAAACCTTGTACCTACCATCTACAATGATTATACTCACTTTCCCTGAGCTGTCGTCACTTGCCAGTGATATTTTTCCTACAGCATGGCCTGGTTACTTGCTCAGGAAGAGAAAAGTAAGCATAATAGGCTACAAATAAAAACATCCAAGCCAGCTGAAGTTACATTGTTAACGTACCATAGATTGTTGCCATAGAAGTACCTAGCTTTTAAAAAATGTGACACACCATATACCATGCTCTCACTGTAATCTTGTTTTCTTTTATATATATATCCAGCAATGAGTCCCAGCATCATCTCTTCAGGAGATCTTCAGAGTGTCTCTGGTGATACACCTCATGAGAAACCCCCTCTGGATCCAGCCCTGGATGAACTGAGGAAGCTGAGCAGAGATCTCATGGCCATCCGTCTCCAGATAGACAAACATGCCCAGGGGAGCAATACCTCAGAGGAATGGCAAATGATCGGATTAGTCATTGACCGTCTGCTTTTTGGCCTGTACATTGGCTTCATCTCTTCCCTTTTTATCACTATCATATCCATATGGGTCTGGAGTAACGCAGAACTTAGCTGACTTGATGGAAGAGTTAAGTCAGACAGTTATGTGGATCATCAGCAAAAGTTTGACCAGTTAGCAGCTTACACTTAGATTTATTATTCAGTAGTTCGAGTAAGAGATTCAGAATCTGAGTTATTTGATGCAGGAAAACAAAATGAAATGCAGAAAACATCCAGTATGTATAGAGGGAATGATTACAGCAGGCTTAGCTTATTTTAATGTTTATATGGATACCGAATGTTTTTTATAGCAGAACTGAAAAATGTGAACCTATCCTTTAACCAGTATTAATTATCTTCATGAACCTAAGATCAATGGTTGAGTCCAAGTTAAAGTTTCTGTATAATTAATTGGAGATATTCTGATAACAGACCCTATATTTTAAAATCTCATGCGTACACTTCAAGCCCAAAACGCACTTTTTCCTGAAATCATGACCCAGTAACTCAAGATAATCCACAGACCTTGTTGTGAACAGTTTAATGTAGGAACTCTTTACTCTCTACCAAACTACACCTGCCAAATATATCAGAAGGAAGCGTGAATCTACTCATGGGTGACAGCAAGAGATATAAACATTAACAAAGTCCTCCTTGTCTGAGCAATAACATTAACTAGCTCAGGGCTAGGTGATCTAGCAGTAGATGCACGTTTCCTTTTACGTGGTGATACAGTTGGCAGGCATAGTTTGGTTAGAAGAGGATAGTTCCCACATGAAACTGCTCACAACAAGGTCTGTGGATTACCTTGAGTAACTGGTCATGATCTCTGAAAAGAGACAGTGCGGTTGAGGTTTTCATATGTACTTTATTTCTTGGTGCTTTGAGCACCACAAGCTGAGTGCCATCTTGTTCCAACACCCAGCAACTTACACCAAAACAATTTAGACTGATTAATAGCACTACAGGTAAGAGGATGAATATATATTTTTTAATTTTGGGGTGAACTGTCCCTTTAAACAATTGAAGACAGCCATAACCACATACCAACAACCATATCTACACCATAAGGTCTTCTAGTCTTTATGAATGGACAGTCTCTTATGTCAAAGCTCAATTCTACTGTAATAATTTTCCTTTTTTTCTGAGATCTTTAATCTCTTTCTGCTGCTTTGGGAATTTTTTTTTCTCATCTTTGAACAATATGTTTGTGCTTTTTATTTGTGTGTACGTACAATGAAAAACTGACAAACTGTAATGCTGTTTTTGTTTGTATCTGCTCTATGAATGTATATTTGTGTCTATGGCATCCCATTGAAAATGAGATGCTATATCTCAAAGGGATATCCTTTCAGTGAATTCCCAATATATAGAGCACTGGAGAATGAAACAGATTGTAACTCCTATAGGTGGCAGTGTTGAAAATGAAATGGTGGAGTTGTTACCAGTGTGGAACGACTTCTGTGTGTGTTTATTTTAATGCCATTTGATTACATATCTTTATCAATAAGATAACGAATATTTTATGTGTAAAATCTGAAATGTGAATTCCATTTTTTGTTTTAGGTTAAAGGAGCTATATGTAAGAAATATAAAGCAAATAGTCGTAAAATCCTCCTAATATTTCACAGAGACTAAGGAATAATGTCCATATAACATACTGATCTCACCGACAACAATAGTACAGCCAGAATATTCGCATTTAAAAAACATTTTTAAAGTCCGCAAATCATGTTTATGTTCTGAATTTGTGTTTTGGCCTGTTGCGCCACCCACCGCCGTCTACCAATCACACAGTCAGTAGAGTCTCAGAATCAGTTACAGTTACGACTGAGCTACAGCAGCACGGCAAGCAGCATTAGCAGTGTCCCGGTACATAGCATTAGCAGCCAGCTCCTCCTCAGCTGTATCCTGGCAGCAGCGTGAGCAGTGTCCCGGTACATAGCATTAGCAGCCGGCTCCTCCTCAGCTGTATCCTGGCAGCAGCGTTAGCAGCAGAGAAGCCGGACTTGCTTGAACAGTCCACTGGAAAACCGAAGATCAAGGACACGGCAGCTGCCCGTGGGCAAACAAATCAGTCTCCAGCGTGCAGCTGTCCAGCAACCTCGAATCTGTAGAGGAAGGGGGGGGGGCGGACACGACTTGAATTTGAGTGCAGTAACCGTTTTGGCCACATTCTTACATACAGCGCCTTTAAAGAGTTGTCTTTCTGTTACATTTTCATAGGTAATGTGAGAGTATTATCTTAAGCCCTATTTGGACGGGATTAGTTTTACATAGGTATGTGGGATAAAGCAATAATTACCAGAGATTTTAGTCCCTTTCGAATGTGCCATGTCAGTAATCATTACCGCACGATGTCAGTAAAGATTACCGTGACTTTTACCTTCTGTAAAAGGATCCCGGACAATTACCTCAGGTAATACTAATCCCGTGCGAATAGACCAGCAGTAAATATGTGATTTAGGGCTGTCAAAAAAAAAATCGAAGTTAGAAATATATCCGAATATATATGTCTATATATATATACATATATATATATATATACATATATTTATTTCTAAGTTCGAAGCTAAATTTGATCATTCGAATATCATTAATAATTAATTAATACTATCAATAATGTTGTATATCACGGCAAATCCCGTTAGAGAGGAGATGGCTCGAGCACAAGCAGGGCCAGAGAAAAAAGCAGAAACGGAGGGAGAGGCGCCGACGGAGGAGCCCGCTGCGCCAACACCACCCACTGCACTGTTCGCGATGTGTAACCTGTTCGGGAAGACATACAGGGAGAGTGTTGCACCTGCTGCCTCCATGCCTACCCTTTTTGAAGAAGAGATGAAACGTTACCAGAATGAGACACCACCACGAGCCGACCAGGATCCACTCTTGTGGTGGAAAACTATGCACTGAAGTATCCAAACATTGCTCAGATAGAGGCAGAAGTTTGTCATACCTGGCACTTCAGTGAGGTCAGAACGGGTGTTTTCATCCGAGTGTGACGTTCATATTGTGTCAGCAATAAGCATCTTATTTTTTGTGTTTGTTTTTTTTTTTGTAATAATAAATTCTAATATTATTCGAACTCTACTAGCTAAATTAATTCAAAAATATTCTAACTCTTCTAAATTAATTCGAAAATATTCAAACTCAAATTCATGGTGCTTTTGACAGTCCTATCATACGCACTTGATGTCAGGAGGGGACGGCGGTGCGTGAATGGATTTACCCCTCCCACTTGTGGTAGTTTTATTGATATTTCTTATCCCGTGCGAATTGGCCATNAATAAAATAATGCATCAAGGTGCTTACATGTAATCTGGATCAAACGATAAAATACAACAGTATCAGTTATGACAAATGTCATGTTTGATGAGAAGCATCATGGACAGGATAATGGTGAAGGAATTTACAGTAATGAAAGCTGCCAAAAAGATTGGTATTTTTAAAAAAAAAAAAAAAATTGAATGTAGTGGGTGTTGTTCATATGGATGATTTTAGATAGAGTACACATGTAAACAGAAAACAAAGGAGGAACAATGAGTGATCCTTGGGGAATACCAAAGTTCTGAGTGGCCTGCAGAAAAGCATCAGAAACAACAAAATAAGTTTTTAGGGGGCTGGTGGAGGAGTTTGCAACTATTGGCAAATATCTATTGTGAATTCTGAGTAAAACTTTGATGCTTTGTAATTGTTTTTATCCCAAGATCATTTTGAGACGTAGGCCAATCCTTTATGTGATAAACCTCCTGTTGCCCAGCTGCTTCCTCATCACACTGGACCTCTTCAGCTTCCTGCTGCCTCCCCAAGGTGTGGATCGGTCCTCCTTTAAGATGACTCTCATCCTGGGCTACACCGTTTTCCTGCTCATCATGAACGACCTGCTGCCTGTCACTGGAAATACAACACCTCTAATAAGTGAGTGACACCTGTGATATATTGTTGTATAGGATTAACCACTGTGGCCAATTCTTCTTCTTGACCAGATGCCATTGTTGACCAATTAATACCTTGTCCTCTGATGGCTCCTCTGGCAACTAAATTTTAACTTAATATAAATGTGAATATGCTCTCTGCCCTTGATAATTAAAGTTAAAATGAAAAATGTCTCTTTACTTCTTAATTGTTTTGTTTGTTTTGCTGCAGATGTTTTATTCTCAGTCAGTCTGGCTCTGATGGTGGCCAGCCTGTTGGAGACAGTGTTTATCACCAACATCCAGTTCAGCGCCAGCAAGTACAGAAAGGTGCCTCACTGGCTCAGTGTCCTTGTGCTACGATATCTTGCTGTTGTTGTTTGTCTCCCTCCAAAAAAGACGAGCAACCGCATCACAGTCTCCCTTCACCCACCTGCTAGAGGTACAATACATCATCATGATTATTTTTGTATTACTTCTGTCACTATTACTGCTACTTCATCTTATTTTTGGTCACTGAGCCTATGGCCCGCTGATGTAGGTATTGAAATAGGCCTTGATATATATTTGCAGTATTATGAACTGGGTGTAATAAGTTATTGCTAATGCAAACTAAACATTTCTTTTTGCTGCTGACTTCACATTAAAAACATTTCACTGGTGAAAGACTACTTGACTTTCATTGTTAGTAGTCAAAGGAAATGCAATTTCCATTCATCATGGTTTCTGTTTCCTCTTTGCCCGAATCAAAGAATCAGGGGTATTTTAAAAGTGTGTGGTGCAGTGCTTTGCAAGCAGTAGTTGGTGTACACTGTCTACCAGGTGCTTTACAAATCCGTGACAACATGGAGCCAAGGATTTTCACCCTATGAGCTGTTGTAGCAATACCTAAAATTAGAAGAAACAAAATACCATTGCATTTACATTAAAACCTTGTACCTACCATCTACAATGATTATACTCACTTTCCCTGAGCTGTCGTCACTTGCCAGTGATATTTTTCCTACAGCATGGCCTGGTTACTTGCTCAGGAAGAGAAAAGTAAGCATAATAGGCTACAAATAAAAACATCCAAGCCAGCTGAAGTTACATTGTTAACGTACCATAGATTGTTGCCATAGAAGTACCTAGCTTTTAAAAAATGTGACACACCATATACCATGCTCTCACTGTAATCTTGTTTTCTTTTATATATATATCCAGCAATGAGTCCCAGCATCATCTCTTCAGGAGATCTTCAGAGTGTCTCTGGTGATACACCTCATGAGAAACCCCCTCTGGATCCAGCCCTGGATGAACTGAGGAAGCTTGATGTCAGGAGGGGACGGCGGTGCGTGAATGGATTTACCCCTCCCACTTGTGGTAGTTTTATTGATATTTCTTATCCCGTGCGAATTGGCCATTATTATTACTGACACCCTGTGGTAAAGTGACATTACCCCACGTGCCCATGTAAAACTAATCCCGTCCGAATAGTGCTGAAGTTTCATTTTGCTTTCAGCCCAGCCTGAAGCCAAATTGTCTCTTTGAATACTTTGTAAGAAATAAACACTCTCAGGCTTTAACTGTTGTTGCTGGTTCTTGAACCTGGGAAGACGGGAGTGTCCATTTTCGTGTTGCCTCAGGGCCGGGGGTAAACAGAAGGAAGTAGAGTAACTAGTTGATCATAAGTTCTCCCTGTGTCAGCGTGGTTTTCCTCCAGGAACTCTGGCTTCCTCTCACAGTCCAAAGACATTCAGGTTAATTGGTGACTCTAAACTGCCTGTAGGTATGAATGGTCATCTTTGTCTATGTGTCAGCCCTGCAATAGTCTGGGGACCTGTCCAGGGTGTACCATGCCCCCTGCTCAATGTCAGCTGGGATAGGCTCCAACAGGTAAAAACTCATTTCATTGTAGAGTTGCATGTGCTGTAATGATTCCCTCAGCCCATCTTAGCTCTTCTCCTTCCCACTCTCCATCTCTCTGTTTATCATGACACTACTGCTGAAGGAGTGTGAACTCCGTGCCTGTGACAGACTCACACACACAGTGACACGGCAAAATGTTGCCATCACACAGCTAACGTTACCCATCAATGGATTAATGGAGTTGAGGCATTTGGTGCAACACATTTTCACTCTGACTTCATTACATATCAACTTTTGGTCATGGACTTTCCACATCTAAATATGAAGTATCCATTTTCAGTCAAGCAACAAATATTTGCATGTTTCAACGAATCCTTTTGCCTACAGAAATCTCTGCCCTGGAGGTGTCCAGTGAACTTGTATAACCCTGTTCATGGCTTCACTAAAAGCTTTTCTGTTTGCTTTTTTCCCTAAGAACTATAAGTAAAACAAGTCCAGGACTGCAGCACTAAAACACAAAAGAGACATAAACAGTCATTTCTTTGCATTTAATATTCATATTTAATGTATAATTTTGTTTTAAAAATTAATCTTGTTGGCCTGTTTTTGTTTTTAAATAGATTGCATTCAGATAAATGAGTGAGTATGGGTGCAGAGCAGAGTGACTAAGTACTTATTTAGGCTCATCATATGCTGAGGTGTGTGTTAAAAATATCTGAAAACTGACACCACCAGTAGACATCCTTGTTTGATTAGTTTGCAACACTGTTGTTTTGAAAAACTAGACATGCATGCATATAATTGACAGGGAAGACCTGTAAGTTAAGTTGAGCCAATCAGAAACAAGAAACTCAGACTGTCAGGTTTAACCTTTTAAAACGCTGGGACGAGTTATGAAAGTGGTTGAGCTGATGCAAACAAGATGAAAAAGGTGACGACAGCCGGGCTAATTTTTATCACTTTTTCACTTCTTTACGGTAAGAAAGAAAGAATTTACATTATCTACTGAATAAACAATGCAAACAATACTGATGTGTTAAATACTGGAGGAAACCTATTCCCATGGTAATGCTTTGAGACACTTTAAGCTAATACAAAGCAAATAGGCTACATGATATTGGGGTTTTAAAATTGCCTTGAATTTTATATATACATTGTATGTATGACTGGATATGTGTTTTATAAAAGTTTGTGGCACATTGATGAATACTGTCAGAAGATGTTTATGAACTGTATGTGAAAAAACAGCAAAAAACAATCTAAAGTTTTGAGAATCTAAGTAAAATCTTAAACCAAATTCTTACCAAAAAGACTGAAAACCTGTGGCACGTGTTTTATTTTAACCGAATAAAGAGCTTTCCACTAACCAGTAAGTTACTGTAGCAAGTAAAGCTGAGAGAAGTAGGACATATGTCAAGAGTAAGAGTCAACAGCCACGCAAACACCTTGTGATGCTGTATGTGGGTACAGAGGTGCTTTAAGCTAAATACTAATGTTAGCAAGCTAACATGCTCACATGACAATGCTAGCATGCTGATGTACACCAGGTTTACCACTGCAGTTTACTACGTTAGTATGCTAATACTCACCAAGCAGTACTTAACACAAAGTGCTGCTGATGTTACTTATTTAGAGGTATTTACACAATCAAACAGTTTCATATAAGTTTTTAGTCTTTACTTGTGTAGACAGTGACGATCAGTGACGTGAATATTGACATTAATAACTGCGCTCTCTCCAGCACCAAACAAGAAGCAAAAACCAGGTAGATAGTAAATGTGGAGGGGACTCTGGGAAGATAGAAGAACAAGTCAGCTCTCTTGGACGGTGAAAAGGGAGGAGAAACTGGTGGAACTGTGGAGTGAACAAGAGTCTGTGTTCATTTCAGCATGTATCTAATCCACTAACTTGTACTTAGTGGAAAATCTTCATTTTTGAAACGGTTTGCCTCAGAGCTCATGGTAAAGAGTGCAAGCAACAGGGTGATTGTTTGGACAGATGTGTGGATTTAGGTGTTTAAAATGGATCACATAATTTCATGTGGCTGGTATGAAGCATTTTGTTAAACATTTCATGAAGTCTTAGCAAGACTTCTGCTTTTGAGCAAATACAAATAAAAGAAAAATACTTTTATTTGGACTTTGTATGTATGAATTTAGATTTTGTCTTTCTCTTTTTCAACGCAGGTTTTGTTGCATCATTGAACTGCACCAGCCCAACTCCTAAGGCCTTGTTTGATGCATTCGAGACTGAATTATTTCCTAGAAAACTACTTCGACCTGTAGGAAACTTTACAGATGTCCTGAACGTATCCATCGAAATGACTATAGTGGGAATTTTAGGAGTGGTGAGTCCATGAGCTGCATAAAAATCTATTCATGACAGCGCATACAGATGCATATTTTTTTAACAGAGTATTCTGCGAGTGAATTTTAATGATCATAAATAATTGTATGTGTCTCATCCCTAGAATGAAAAAGACCAAAACTTGAAAATATTCATATGGCAAGTCCTGGTAAGTGTTCAGAGCACTGACAAAAACATGAATGAATTCAGAATGTTGTCTAAAACCCTTTCTTAAACAAAAGCACACACATAATACAAATGTAGTCAATTTTTTGAAGACTGTAAAAAAAAATTGATATCAAGTGGTATTCGCAGAACAAGAGTGTCGTGACACTTTTTGCTTCAGCATTCACTCAGTGGTTGTTTGTGCCATGTATATCGACAAGCTATTTATATTTGTCTGCAGCAAAACAGTCACTCAAACATCTACAACATAATCCCAGAATATGTAAGTTAATGTCAAATACAAAAATTCCCCTTGTTATAATCAACCAAGCAGCAACCTCTAGGAGCCAACGCTGAAGTGCTAAAAACTGCACTTCCTCAACTGGCCATTAGAGGCTGGCTCCAGAAGCCATTCAATCCCCATAGACCCTAATGTTAAAATCCCCAACATAACAGCAAAAAAAATACCAACATGTTTACAGCCTGGTACAAAAAGGCCTTTATAGTTAATGACATCTGTATGTGTGGCAATTTTGATATAATCATAGACTGTAAAAATATGACTCACCTGGTTACATTTTATGTAAGAAGTATTTCACTGCTGGAAAGATGTTTTTCATAAAACTCACCTTTCTTTGCAGCGGAAAAACGCAAATACAAAAAGTTACATATAATTACAGGTGTGGCCACTTTGCGTGACAGACTGTCCGTGATGCGTCACCACAATCTATGCATCAGATCCAACCCCTCCCTCACATCTCCACCCCATTGTCCAAATATGGTCACTCCTGGTCTCAAAACTAAGAGAAAGATGGTGACAGCTGAAATACCGAACACAGTGCCTCCAAACAGGAGTCCACAAACCCACTGGTGACATCAAAGTGGCTATGTCCATCATTCATATACAGTCTATGTAATCAACCTTGATACTGATGTGAGTTGTAACACTAGCTATGTATTAACAGTGATTAAACAGGCTTAAAGACCCAGACAGAAGGGGCCTAATGCCACTAGGATAACGTGGTATCAGTGGCTCAAAACTACTTCAAAGAGCAACAAAGGAACACGAAAAATCTGGCAACTGACTGTGGAAAAGCAGCTGGTATAACTACTGACAGGGATGATGAGAGACATTGGAAACAGGTGAGCAGCCCACACATAGAAAAGTCTGAGGGCATCTGGTGGATGGAGGGGGAATGGCAAGTCCAGACAGTCTCAAGGAAATGCATGAGCCTGAGGGAAGTGAGAAATAACTGGAGACCGGGACCAAGGGCCGGACTGAGTAAAATGGAAACAGCTGAAACAGACATTGTACAGGGGTACAGTTGTAACCCTCTTGAAAAACACTTCATAACTCTCCATCCCAAGCTTTTGTGACATGGCTTTGAAGCTGGCATGAATATGATGCATCGAATTGTGAGTCAGGCTGTGGTCCTTGGCTGGAATTTTGGCTGTTTGCATTACATCTGGAAAAGACTCTGGAAGTCCCATTTTCACTGCAGCTCCATATACAAAAGAGAAATAAGCTAATTCAGGCTTTGGCTACACAGGAAATATTTTTTGGTAGGATCCATATATTGTTAACTATGGTCTTTTTGTGAGATTTGTTGAAAATAAGAAAAATACAGAATACCACAAAACTTAAAGGTGGATTTAGGGGGATTTAGTAGCATCTAGCGGTGAGGATTGGAGATTGCAACCAGCTGAAACTGCGTCAACGAAGAGCCTACATCGTACCCTACGATGTAGCCTAACTTTTTTAGCTTTTATTTACTTTAATTTTACAGATGAGGAACAATAAATTGTAAAGACAATAAAGCCTCTAAAAAACATAACATTTTAAGCCTTGTGTGTGATTTATCCTACAGTAAGTTCATAATCTCTGCTATTCACAAGGCTAATTCATACAATGTAAAATGCCATAGGCTCGTGCTAATAATGTTAGCATATTGTATTTGTTTGAAAAACGTGTTTAGTACAAAACAGTTGTTTTGTCGGTGAACACTGTGGGTTGTAATGGAGCCGAATTTTATAACATTACCTTTGTTAAATGTTGCTGCTGACCCTGGCTTTGTATGAGTATAGAACAAAAGTCTGCTAGCCACTAAGCTAATTTATACAATGTAAAATGCCAAAGGGTTGTGCTAAAAACATTAGGCCCTATCTGGAGCCAGTGTTTGGTTTGTCTATTCTGGGCTACTGAAGAAACATGGCAGTGCAACATGGTGACATGGAGAATCAATGAATAATTATCCCCATGGTTTATATGATTGGTTGCACCGAGGGAACATCATTTAATTCCCATACTATTTGAAATTATGTTGATTTTTCTGAGTTCGCAGGGTCATGGTGCAACTGGAAAATGTGAACAAGACTTTTTTAAATAGACTGAGTATAGTCCAAACATTTTAACAGCAGTGTTTTAACAATAAAAACAAAATAAAAACCTGGTTATACACTTAGGAAATCATACTTGACACTACACACTGAGCCTTTAACCTTTAGATTAAAGTATACAAAGTGACACAGTTAAATAGTTGTTGTTCTCTTTAATTTAGGAGTGGGATATAGATGGACTGAGCTGGGATGAGAAGGAATGCGGAACTAAAAGAGTCTCTGTCCCTCGAGAAAAGCTTTGGGTCCCAGACATCGTCATCAACGAGTTGTAAGTTAAAATTATGTTTAGTAGCCTATCAACTTTTTCATCGATTAGAAAACAAAAGGAAATACACCATCAATAGACCTTATCCCCTATCTGGCAACACTTCTGTACTCAGTTATAGCTGTTGTGCTGTTTTGGCCACACTTTATCTTATATGCTTGTTTTGATCACATGCCCATGAATTTGAAATAATTATTAAAATAATAAATTATTGATGGTTTAATTAATCATTGATTATTTGTTACAGAACCCCTTGGAAAAGAGTCAGTTTAGTGGAACATGAAACCTGTCTTTTAAAAGTATAAAGGTGCAATTAAGAGTTTTTTAATCTGTTCATTTCCAGCATGGACGAGGACAAATCTCCCAAAACGCCTTATGTCTACTTATACAACACAGGTCGTGTATTTGATGAAAAGCCGATCAGAGTGATCGCCACCTGCAAATTAGTCATCTACACTTTCCCCTTCGATGTCCAAAACTGCACTCTGACCTTTGAACCATACCTGCACTTTGGTAAGCCTGCGCAAAATTAGAAAAATAACACCTGATCTCAAAACTGCAACTTCACTTCACATTAAGTTTCATTATAATTATGGTGAGTACACTGAGTACAATTTAAGAGGTTAACTGATATTATTTTTGCAGAAATTATGCATTTTCAAACATTAAAACTACAAACACATAAGTGATATGAAATTAAGTCAAATTAAATACATTAATTTAAATATCTTTGGAGCCCAAAATTCCATGACCTCAACTTTCATGTTGACAACTTAACCCTACTCATGTGCATCACAAGTAACATTTCACACAGACTGGACATCTAATATAAACAGACTTTCCTACAATTTTATTCCAGCTGAAGACATAGAGATGACTCAAAGACATTCAACTGCAGAGATCCTGGAGGAGTCCAGAGCTGTGTTGCAGACCAGAGGAGAGTGGGAGCTTGTGGATATCAAACAAGCTCAAACAACCCTTGAAATTACAGAGGGAACCTACTCTGAGCTCAAATTCTTTGTAAGTTATATATATTTTATTCAATGTTCACATGATGAATACAAGTGATTATCTGCTTAACATTTCTTAAATCAGATGTGACACCTTGGAGAAACTGTGTGTAGAATTTATGTTGATTTTATTTAAGTGATTAATCTTTGAAATTATTTTGATGAAATTGTTGTTTGTATTAAAATGACGCAATCCCAGCCAAAATTTGTATAGTCCATGTGTTGTTTTCAACCCCTGTCGTCTCAGTGCGGCAGGTCAGAGCAGTAGGTAGTGAACCAGGGTCTTTTTTATTCTACCCATACCAGTCTAAAAAAAACATTTTTTTATTTTTTTTTGATAAAATAATGCATCAAGGCTCTTAATCTGGATAAAAATATGTCACTGCTAAAAAACGATAAAATACAACAGTATCAGAAAAAAGATCGGTATTTTTAAAAGTTTGAACAGTTGACTGAAGTGGACATTATTTGTGTGGATAATTTGACATAGTGTACACATGTAAACAGAGGACAAAGGAGGACCGATGATTGATCCTTGGGGAACACCAAAGGTCTGAGGGTGGTGGAGGAGTTTACTACTCCTGGCAAATGTGTAATTTCTTAATGGTAATTAGACCACTATTGTGAATGCTGACTAAAATTTTGAAGCTTTGTACTTGTTTTTATCCCAAGATCATTTTGAGACGTAGGCCAATCCTCTACGTGGTGAACCTCCTGATCCCCAGCTGCTTCCTCATCACACTGGACCTCTTCAGCTTCCTGCTGCCTCCCCACAGTGTGGATCGGTCCGCCTTCAAGATGACCCTCATCCTGGGCTACACCGTTTTTCTGCTCATCATGAACGACCTGCTGCCTGTCACTGGAAATACAACACCTCTAATAAGTGAGTGACACCTGTCATATGAGTATATTCAAAATTTGTAGTAAATGTAAATATGTATGAAAAACGTCTCTTAACTTTTTAATCCTTTTGTTTTGTTTGTTTTTTGCCGCAGACGTTTTATTCTCAATCAGTCTTGCTCTGATGGTGGCCAGCCTGTTGGAGACAGTGTTTATTACTAACATTCAGTTCAGCGCCAGCAAGTACAGAAAGGTGCCTCACTGGATCAGTGTCCTTGTGCTACGATATCTAGCTGTTGTTGTTTGTCTCCCTCAAGAAAAGATGAGCAACCGCATCACAGTCTCCATTCACCAACCTGCTAGAGGTACAATTACACTGTCATTATTATTTTTTGTATTACTTCTGTCACTATTACTGCTGCTATATGCTGCGATATTCAACCAGCTGTGTGTCATTGCAATGTGTGCAGATGAACCATGTTTGGCTTTGCCCCCGTGCTGCTGCCAGCATCCATGTTGTTCAGCCAAAGTTTTATATTTGCTATTACATTTGTTTAGATTGCTGACATGTTTTCTTGTTACATTTGAAGATAGAGATCTATCATTTATATTTTGATTATCAGAATTAGTATAAGTACCTGTCTCACACTATCACTCTTGATTTTTTTTATTATCCAGAAATAAGTCCCAGCATCATCTCTTTAAGAGATTCTCAGAGTGTCTCTGGTGGTACACCTCATGAGAAACCTCCTCGGGATCCAGTCCTGGATGAACTGAGGAAACTGAGCAGAGATCTCGTGGCCATCCGCCTCCAGATAGACCAACACTTCCATGGGAGCAATACCTCGGCTGAATGGCAAATGATCGGATTAGTCATTGACCGTCTGCTGTTCAGCTTGTACATTGTCTTCATCACGGTCTGCTTTATCACCATTGTAGCTATCTGGATATTTAGTAACTTGCACATAACATGATATTCACTTACAAAGACCATGCCAATCAGGTAAAGATTTCAAATGATTTATTGCGTATGATGGATTATGGGTTCGGAGGAAAGCATGAAGGGGTGAGGATCGAGGGATTACAGAATGAACGGATGAGGATAGAGGGATGAAGGGATTAGGGTCGAGGGTCGAATGGATGAGGGGTGAAGGGTTGAGTGATGTAGGGATGAGGGTCGAGGGCCAGATGGATGAAAGGTTAGGGATGACAGGGTAAGGATCAAGGGATATAGAGTGAGGAATGAAGGGATGAGGGATGAAGGGATGAAGGGGTGGAAGACTGAGGGTTGAGGGATGAAGGCTGGATTTCTGGGTAGCAGGCAAGCGCTATGATGAATGTGTTGGGTCAAAGGCAGGAACGCAGGAGAGGTCCCGGGAGTGAGACTGAGTTGGGGAGTTGTCTCTTTGTGAGCTTGGCTTCGGATAGAGCCCCTACTGGTTCCTGTATGCAGAAAGGAGCAGAGAAAAAGATGTAAGAGGCGAGAAGGGATTGGGTGGGTGGGGTGTGAGAAATGTGTCGAAGAGAGATCAAATGCATCAGATATGCTATAGACTATTGGGAATGGGATGTGTTCAAGTCTTGGTCTTTGTTCCCAAACCTAGTTATAAAACTACATTAAATGGAAACATATTGTAGTCTTTTTTTCTTTCTTGGTTTCTCAGTGGCTCTAGTAGATAATTCAGAGTCTGACTTGTTTGATGCAGGAGAAACAAAGTAAAATCAGAAACAGGAGGAACTGGAGAATAGAACAGATCAAAACTCCCATAGGTGGAGGTGTTAAAAAAATAAAATGGTTGAGCGCTTACCGGAGGTGTGGAACAACAAGTCCTTGTCCCGCGTATGTTTATGACTCATCTTCACATGCTGCTTTTTTTTGTTGCATCTATTCATTTATATATATTTTTATATGCAGGAGGACTGAATGTACTCAAAATGATAGAAATATCTTATCTGTGCATTTGTTTGCATTATAAAAGTTGGAAAGTGTCTTTCACGAGGTCTGTATTTAAATAAAATATATCCACAATTTAAATAGCTAATGGGACAACTTAATGTATGTATACCCATTTACAGTTGCTGGTTCCTACAATGTTAACAACCAAGTTTTTATATATACCTTACCTACATACCTATATTTAAGTGTTTGTTTAGGGTTAAGGGATGTTATGGGCTGGGGTTAGGCATGTAATGGTTGTGGTTAAAGTAAGGCTAAGTCTCCTGAGAACTACTGTTAGTCATTTCGGTGTCCTACTAAGTGGCAAAAACAAGTGTGCATGCATTTATACTGCCAGTAGGAGCTATCTTTGCTTTACACATGATTACATCTGTGGTTGTGGAGAATATTTGCTCCATTAGAAACACCCAGCATGAGAGCGTCTCAGCAGAGCATCAGCATCATCTCAGGTTTACTCTTAATGTCAGGTAATGATACTTTCATTCACTTATTTTAACTGGGGGGTTTTTCAAGGCTGACACATCTTACACACTGCAACTGGAAGCAGTGAGGTTGTTATTTTAGTAGCCTAATAATTAATGTAGTATTCTGTCTGTTTCAGGATTAAATTATCCTCACAGTGCAATAATATAGTTTGCCGAGGTAAATTTGAATTGCTTGCATATGAGAGTGTATAAATGGGTAAGAACCAGAGAGGCGTATGTGACATATGACTAACCCTACAGGACAGCGGGAACAAAAAATGACCATACTTGGTTCAGATTTTTATTCATTTTAATCTATAACATAAAAATTCATAAGCATGTGGGTGATAATATATTAATGACAATGTTTTGACATTTATTGAAAAAATATTCTCACTTACAGCCTTTTTGGCCAGCTCAGTGTGGTCAGTGTTAAGTCTTTTAGTTTTTGGTAATAACTCTTGATTGTTTTAGAATTCACATGTATCCTTTTGGCAGTAGAAAGAGCTCACTGAGAGCTTTCATTTGATATATGTAACTCATTTTCGCTCATAGTTGTCACTTCTCAGAATGATCCATCCACTATTTTTCATGTGTACGATAAGTCATGTGTAGTGTTGAATTCAAAATAAAGGAATCTTTCTACAAAATTGAGTCTTATGCTACATTATATTTGAGAAACATGTTCAAGTAATGAAAGGATGCCATTGTGACCTAATGTGTCCTGTGCTTTATAATATAATTACTAAGTAATGTTATGATATTGATACAATAATGATTGAAAAAAAACCTCCTCCATGTCCACATATTTGAGATTTTAAAACTCATCCGACCACATCACCCCTGTTCTGATCCAACTGGCTCTCCCGAATTAACTACAAAAACCCTCTGCTCACCTTCAAAGCCCTCCACAGTCTAGCCCCTACTTACCTCTCTGACCTTCTCCAGAAGTACACCTCCTCCTGCTCACTGCGATCTTCCTCTGCTGGTCTCCTGACCATTCCCACCTCATGCCTCAACACCATGGGTGCCAGGGCTTTTAGCTGCACTGCCTCCAGGCTTTGAAACTCCCTACCCCACACACAGTCGACAGTCTGACAGCATAACATCTTTTAAATCCCATCTCAAAAGCCACCTATCAAACTTTGTAACAGTCTTACCGATCATATCATAGCAACATTATCTGTGTGCCCAAGTCACGTCTCTTGTTCTGCATGTTATTTTATGATCTGTAGGGTGACCATGGGTGTTTTGAAAGGCACCTTTTAAATAAAATGTATTATTATCATTATTTTATGTTTTGTTTTGTGATATTTACATTTGCAATAATATTCTACTTAGTAACTTTGCAGTTTAATATTCTTTCCTAACATTTTAACCTGCAGTTGCATTGTAATTAAAGCAACATTGAAGTGCTTTTTTAAACCTTCTCTTTCGTCAGTGTGTCTGTGTTATGGTAGACTGTCCTGTAAAGACGGCCACAGTGGTCCAACCTATGAGTCCATGCAGGCTGTGTTTGACCTAAAACCCTTCAGGCCAGCAGTGAACCTCAGCAATCCCACCATAAGCAACATCTCCTTCACCCTGTATGCTGTCCTGGGGGTGGTGAGTATGTCACTTAATGATTTAAGAAAATCACTGAGAGCATCTAGATAGAAAACAAACACATTGTTAGAGAGCAGTTGCTCACCTGGTACATAGGCTGTGTCCTTGTCGCAGCTGCCCTTTGCTACATGTCACGCTCAAGCTACCCTATCATATAGAGGCGAAAACCCCAAAAAATGTCATTGTTGTAGCCATATGTTTGACTTGTGTTAAGTGTATTATCCCGTCACGCCACTAGGTGGCTGATGTCACTGGCTGAGGCAGGCGATGGTATTTAAGTTGATGCCAGTGAGCACAGGTGTTGCTGATGTTAGGAAACAAGCAGTTTTTGACTGTGCTCGAATTAAGATTTGGAAGTTCACGTCAAAATTTAGTGGAAGTTATTTGGACATTGGTGAGAAAATAAACATATGATAATATATAGCATCGGTAAAGATTGAGAGTAGTTTTCTGAGCACACGTCTAAACAATATAGCAACCATTAGCGGCTAAAGTTTGGGGCTAGTCACTACAGTAATCCACCACAGCTGACAGAGGGCATATAAGGCAACTTAAATGCAGATGTCAATATATATATATGTATGTATATATATATATATATATATGTGCAAACATTCATCACTACAACTCTTATTACTGGTTACCATGTGTATCGTTATAAAACGTTGCATTTTTAGATTTAACCTGGCTTGATAGGTAGATATAAATCAGCTTCACATGATGTTTACTTGTTGTTTATTATATTTCAGAATGAGAAAACCCAAATACTCACTACGTTCCTGTGGCTGAGACTGGTAAGTAGCATGCAACAACGCACTGTCAATAAATGTAATGCAATCTGATTTATCATGTGCCTGTAGCCACTGCAGGATCACATACAGAGATTATAAAATGAAAGGTGAGCAGGCATTTTAACTCCATGTTAGAAATTTCACATTATTTCTGATGAATCCACTGCAGTACTGGCACCATGAGTTCCTGGTTTGGGACCCTGATGAGTGTGACGGTGTCACCAGGATTTCTCTCCCTGTGAAGCAGCTCTGGTCTCCAGACATCATCGTGTATGAGTTGTAAGTTCTCCAGCTTTAAAAAATTGTGGTTTTCTTTCTTACTTTCTTTTTTGTGTGTTTTTCTTTTAGTGGATCCCTGAGGGTCTTCTACGCACACACCCAATGGCTTGTTACAAAGCAGTTATGCTACGTTTAGTGTGCAGGCAAATCAGATTTATTTCTCAAATCTGATCTTTAAGACAGACTGTCCACACTGTTAATTGCAAGAGTTCAGATCGGATTTGTGTGACCAGACTTCAACAGCCCATCTGCATGGGTTGCTGTAGTAATGACATAGGTACCAGTATCTACGGAGCTAAGCTGGTGACACAGCCTTTCCATGTGGAATCTTAAGAAATGAAGGTCGACCACTTCACCCTGCAAACAATTAGCAGCAGGCAATTTATTTTGACATCTGCCCACAGATGGTTGTTCTCCATGTTGTCCTCCATAGCATTTCCTCCACTCTGGATTCAAAAGACTCAAAAGACACTTTAAAAACCCGCTACAAGCAGCTAAAGGGTCTGGACTGAGACACACTGTCCAGATTTTGATAATGCAGTCTGGATACAATCTGGATATGCCAAAGAAAATGGATTACAGTTGGCAGTCTGAACAAGGCCTAGTGCCCTGAGACATCTTTTAAAGTGCTAGTGTTACTAGTTCATGCATCACAACAACCTACTAAGAATGCAGCATCTAATACACTCTGCATAGTGGCCACCATTGTAGAATGATAATCCACTCAGCTGCAACTAAAAGGTGTTGACACACATCTGTACAGATATCATGCCTGCTGCCTGAGAGAGAGTTCCTGGCACATCGGAGACCCTTGAGTCCAATCTGAAGTATGTCCAGATAGGAGAAGTCACACCGACAATCTGGAGATACAAAAATGGTAACTTCTGTGTCTTGATCTTGCAAACCAGCTGCATCATCCCTGTCTGATGTGGCAGCATACACATCAGTCCCTATGGCCTCAACGGATGAGCAAATGCATGATCTCCATGGGGAGATGCTTCGCTTATCCTCAGTGGGTTCCACAGTTTGTCCCTGGATGCAAAGAGGTCTGCTGTTGGTCATAATGATGCCACTGAGTTGCCACAGAGTGTGGAAAAGTCACGTCAAATTTATTTATATAGCCCAATATCAGAAATTGCCTCAAGGGGCTTTGTCCTTCTCTGGACATTATGTCAACCTCTGTCTTGAAGAAACCAATGTGTCAGGGTCTCAGGGCGTGACAGTGATGTCCATCAGATGTGGGGTTGATGCATAGTCAAAAATGTGCGGACCACGACATGACTATTCAGGGTACAGAGGTCCAGGAGCGACCATACACTTTCTTCAGGACCAGAAAGTAGGGGGATTAGTTTGTCCAAGTACGTTCCTGCTCAGACTGGTTTGGGATATTTCCAGCTCTGTTTTCAGTGTCAGATTATTCCCCTGTTAAAGCATGTCTGACAATCCAGCAGGGGAAGCTGAGAGAGAATAATCATATTCATTTTGAAAGTAATTTGTTTCCTCATGGGTGTCATTTAAATACCATCTTAATGTGTTTCTTCTGTCATTGTGTTTCATTGTATTTCTTCTTTTTCATCCCGGCTCCTCCAACCCTCCCAGCGTGGATGACGATGTTTCCCAAGCGTGTCCTTACGTCTACGTCAACCACACAGGTCACATCCGCTGGGACAGGATGCTTCGGCTCGTCTCAGCCTGCAACCTGGAGATCTTCAGTTTTCCTTTTGACGTGCAGAATTGCACATTTACATTTGGCTCATACATGCACACCAGTAAGAAAAGGCTTCACTACATTTACGGTGTCATAAACTCATCCAGTCGTTTGCTACACTTGTTGCACTTTTAGCATTGTTGCAGGGAATAACAATAAACACAAAAGGAAAAAGAGGACAAAAATATAGATGATTATGTAATCAATCAGTTGTTACTTTTAGCTAACTTATTTATTTACATAATGGTGTTGTTTCTGGAGAACTGTCTGGCTAGTTCTCACTGTCTCATTGTCTTTTTCTCTTTCACAGTAAGGGATGTGAGGGTTGGTCCAGCCCTGACCTTTAAGGAGATGTCTGGAAACTCAAAGCGTTACCTGGAAGCCAGTGGAGAGTGGGAGCTGGTGGACATACTGGGAGAGACCTCTATCCTCCAGTTTGGGATAGATGAGTGGGACATTATCACCTTCTGGGTGAGGGAAAATAGTTAACTTCTCTTATGTTGGCAAATACCAGCCGTAAATAAAATCGGTGACTGTCAGACATAATTAAACAACGATGATTACTTATGTTAAAGGCAAAGTTTTGTGGAAATGCACTCATTTGCTTTGTCTATAAGAGTTTGATGAGTGGATTGATACCTCTCTCACGTCTGTACGATATGTTGTTGGAGCCAGCAGCTGGTACACTTAGCTTAGCATAAACACTAGAAGCATAAGGAAACAGCTGGATGCTGGATGTTTAAACAAGTATGTGTGCAGCAAGTTCAACATTTCAATTTTAAAGGGGACGATACATCAACAACAATAAACTGTTTCTACCCCAAGTGACCAAATCAGTTACTCCAGAGGCCTCTATTATGAAACCAATTTAATTTATCCACGATATTCTCTGGCTTCACTAACTTTAACATTGGCCGTCTGGAAACTGGTATTATGTAGCTGGTTATCAACCCCACAAGCGTGTTCATGTAAACCATGAATGAAGTAGGCTACTTCATATAAAATGGGCGACTGTAGCTCAGAGGTCGAGGGGGTCGAACTTTAATAGGAAGATCAGGGTTTGGATCCTCAGCTCCTCCACTCTGTGTGTCGAAGTATCCTTGAAGCAAGACACTGAACCCCACATTGCTCCCTATGGCTGTTCCATCAGTGTGTGAGTGTGTGCGAATGGTCAGTGTAGCAAGTGGCATCATGTATGGTAGCCTCGGCCACCAGTGTGTGACTGTGTGTGTGAATGTGACATGTAAGTCAAGGCAAGGCAATTTTATTTATATAGCACCATTCATACACAAGGCAATTCAATGTGCTTTACAAGAGAAATACATTAAAATAAAACATTAAAGGAACAATAGATCATTAAAAACAAAAGCTAAAAGCAAGAGTAAAAAGAGTAAAAAGCACTTTGAGTGGTCGGAAAACTAGACAGGTGCTTGTAGCCGTCTTGCCCCTGTGAGCTCCCGAGCACAGATGTACAGATTCAGCAATCCGTCAATATGCAATACTTCATTAACTACTGCCCGGCACACAACAACAACAATCAGTCCACAACATGTGACTGTGGCTGCCCGGCTCCTCCAGCACGTCTCCCTGTCCTTTCAGTTATAAACCAACAACTCAGGTGGTGTCCTTCTCCTTGGTCTGGGCTGCAGTGTTCTGAGGGCCAGCACACTACTGCATGAAAAAGGGAGAGATGTAATCAGAGCAAAGCAGCAACAGCTGTGTCAATCAACTCACCTGGTACTACTCTCATGAGCCATCTCCCCCACACCTCTACCCTGCAGCTCACTACTAACCATATAATATAAGAGGCCGTTTACACGTACACGGTGATTTTGATAAACGGAGACATCTTCCTTCGTTTGTGCCCTTCGTTTACACGCAAACGGAGATTTCTCCTCTGAAAACGAGTCTTTCTAAAAACTCCGGCCAGAGTGGAGATTTTGGAAAACTCCGGTTGCGCGTTTGCATGTAAACTGAGATAAACGGAGATAAACAGAGTTATAGGCAGCCAACGTCACAGTATGCGCCGGAACTTGCGCCTGTGTCAAAAGTGCGACCTATGTTGCTATGGTGACAATGGATACATGGAAGGCTTGAGCCTCTCGTTACACTGCCACCTACAGGTTTGGCATGCTCTTGTGTACACGGGTAAGTGTAAACGAAGATCTTTTTGAAAACGGAGACGGTGAAATGTCCGTTTATGAAAATAGCCGGCAACTGAGATGAAACTGTGATACTATAACTTTTAGGACTGTTCTGTTCATGAGACAGGAGAAAATCATGTGTGTGAAATGTAAATGAAAGCCTGTAATCTTACAACAGAAAAAGAGAAACACTGGAAACTAGTTCCAAACATTAAACATAGCTCAGAACTTAAAATACATGTAGGTATTATTAGATTTGAATTAAGTGCAGAATTAGTTTGTTGCACAAGTTAAAATCCAGCTAAAATCATCATCATATGTTCAGTGTTGTAAACGATCTCTCCCTTTGTTAGAGACTCTGTTTTAACCAGTGGAAACAGAGCCCTGGAGCAATAAAATTATTCTGGGTCATTATATGAAAACGTGCCATTTCCCATTCTTAATGTTTTATTTTCAAAGTACTGTTTTAAAACTATTTATGACCCTTTTTGGATTAAATAGATCCTTACCTATCAGAAATAGGTGCTGTGTCATCTCAGGCCATCTTATTTTTTATTTTTTTCCACATTTAATTTTGTCAACCCTGTTACGTTACACCAATTAGTGTTTGAAAATGTTTTAAATGCATATTTACAACAAATCTGATATACTTTGAAGGATAAATCTCCCCTTGTTACACAAAGTGTGTTTATACAGTGGGAATATTGAAGTGTTTATGTTTTATCCATGGATGAATATGCTCATTTGCAATTGACACTTTTACAGCATTTCTTTTAAAAAACAGAATATGGAAACAAAACAGTAATACCCACATTTCATTCTGTAGATTACTGGTTTCTTTTACTTAACATATAAAATGAGTTGATTTGACATTTGTCTTTTCATTTTTTGAATTATACTAGAATATTATACAAGTAACAGGGCTGACACCTCAGTAACAGGGTTGACAACAGTTACCATACTGCTAGTTTAAGTTGCAGCTTTGGGTCTAATGGAGATAATGGGACATTCATAAACCTTTAATTCAACATGACTAATCAAAGAATATTTTGGAGACATATTTATTGAGAGGTTTTAGCATTTTTCAAAACATTAAGGATATTGAAAGGACAGTCACAATGAATTTGATCCATTAAACATGTTTGGCCTGCTCCGAAAGTTGCATCATTTCCTGGGAGTGAAATCAGCTTCCTTTTGTGAACATGCTGGTGAAAAGACAAGTGTCCTCTTATTTTCATGATTTTTCTTATAGTGATATAATGTTTGACAGAGAGGGACAAGCTTATTGTGTCAGCCCTGTTTCCACAAAAGGACATGTTAAAAAGATATTTGTTAAAAAAATTTTAATGTACATAAATAACATGATATAAGCCTCTAATGAATGCACACCATGTGGTCTCATGACCTTCACCACATGGCTAGTAATGGCTGCCAAGAACATTTTTTGTCAACCCTGTTACCATTCTAGCGTAACAGGGTTGACGTAACAAAAGTATGGTTTTGCGAGTACATGAAAATATACTTTCCTTACCAATAGCATTTACATTATGGTTTTACAAGTTTCATCGCTAGCTGAGAGGGAAATTGAAAAAATTGTGCACTTGGTGACAAGTTTTTGAAATTTGGCATAGTGTAAGGTATGGGTATAAGGTTTTCAAAAACCAAGTTGGGATAGGTCCATGTCACTGGTTCGACAGCCCATTGGTTCAACATCCCATTAGTCCGACTGTCCGCGGTGCTGGACGGCTCACGGCGGGCGTATGGTGCGCCGCGACCGGCTTGAGGCGGAGCAGGCTCACGGCTTATGTGTTTGCCACTTTCTTTTTCATTTTAACCCACACCATGATCTTTTCCTGAGCCTAACCAAGTGGTTTTTGTGCCTAAACCTAACCAGACCTTAACCACAGGGCGTCATGATGATTTCGGAACGGACTTCAGAACAATGAGTTTAATATGGTCGGAACAATGGGATGTCGAACCAATGGGCTGTCAAACCAATGGGCAGTTCCCGTTGGGATAGCCACAAATTTCAATATGGCCCTCACTGGAGATTTGGATCTGCTCCAAATTGTAATGGGTTCCATGTTGGACCATGTTATACCTCTCCACCAAGTGTAACACCATGCTAAATTTCAAAAACTTGTCACCAGGTGCACAATTTTTTCAATTTCCCTCTCAGCTAGCAATGACACTTGTGAAACCATGTATATCATGTAAATGCTATTGGTAAGGAAAGTATATTTTCATGTACTCGCAAAACCATACTTTTGTCAACCCTGTTACCATCAACTCTTTTACACTAGAATGGTAACAGGGTTGACGAAAAATGTTCTTGGCAGCCATTACTAGCCATGTGGTGAAGGTCATGAGACCACATGGTGTGCATTCATTAGAGGCTTAAATCATGTTATTTATGTACATTAAAAATTTTGAACAAATATCTTTTTAACGTGTCCTTTTGTGGAAACAGGGCTGACACAATAAGCTCGTCCCCCTCTGTCAAACATTATAACTCTAAGAAAAATCATGAAAAGAAGAGAACACTTATTTGTCTTTACACCAGCATGTTCACAAAAGGAAGCTGATTTCACTCACTGATGATGCAACTTTCGGAGCAGTCCATTATCTCAGAAGAGGTGTTTTCATTAAAAGTAACAGGGTTGACAACTACCTGGCGACCCAACTAAATTGATGTTTTTTACAACATTTTACATATATTAAGAATAAAACCCATTCATGAATAATGAAAGACACTTGAGGCTTTATATATAAGTTTATGTTTTTATGATAGTTTGACTTTTTTGGGCCTTAATAGCCAGTGAAAGTAGAACAATCATATTGAGCGACAGGCCATTTTTACAGTTTTTGAATGATGCTTCGTACAAAAAGGTGTTTAAAACTTTCAAAACAAAATAAATAAAATTTTACATTGTTTTAATGTTACAAGAGATATCATGGAAAATAAATTCTAAAATGATTATAGTGTGTTTATTGACATTTATAGCACGGTTTTGTTTGAGAGACACAAAATGGCACATTTTTGTATAATGACCCACCTACTCACGTATAAAAATATATAGCTACTCTTTTGTTACCTGTCACTCCGGACTTTTGTCCATGTCAGGATATTTTTCTAGTGATCTAATTGGTCAGTGGTCGGGGTGTTGACAGGTTGTGATTTCAATTTTGTTCAGCATAAGTGACCACGGTCATTTATCCCAGTAAAAAGAGAATCGGCTTTGTAGTACTGATGACTCAGGGTTTACCCTGACATTACCTCGCTAACCTCAAATCCTGCTTTGTAGCGCAGGCCTCATGCTCAGCACAGAATTAGCAATGCATAATACAAATGTTTACTCATGGTGAACATATTTGTATTGTTAAATGTCATCTTTTGAATGCGTATTTTCCTAGTTCGATATATATTATGTTAAGAAGCCTGCAAAGCTTTTTTACATGATTGTTATTCATGGCCTACACAATAAAGACCCTTCAAACTGACTGTTTTTCACCAGGTGGTCATAAAGCGGCGTCCGGTGCTCTACGTGGTCAACCTGCTGATCCCCAGCTCCTTCCTAATGCTCATCGATATCCTGTCCTTCTACCTGCCCCCCCACAGTGTTGACCGTGCCTCCTTCAAGATGACCCTCATCCTGGGCTACACCGTCTTCCTGCTCATCATGAACGACCTGCTGCCCAGCACAGCAAACGGCACACCCATTATAGGTCAGAGGTGGTGACATCTAGGGGTGACATAACCTGAGCGCTATCATAGTCTGGGTTACAGGTTCCATCTTACCTGACATCATGATAATCCATGCTTTAAATCAACAGTAATGAGAAGCAGTTCTAATCAAGGTTTTGACTTTAACAATGAAATGATTCTCTGTAATTTGAAAGGGGTTGCTTGTGTCTGTAAATGTGTATTAAGTGATTTGCTTGCCAGCTATTTCCCAATTGTAACTCTTGTATCAGATGGCAAAATGTCAGTGTTGTGCTTTCAGCTTGTTTCTCCGCCCCCAAGTGGTGAAAATCAGTTAATACAGTTTTGAGTTTTTGCCCTTTGTTTTTGACAAGCTACACAACTATCAACTGTCTAAAGCTGCAACAGGTTTTTTCAACATTTTGTGGCCAGTAACTCAATTTCTACATCCCAAAAGTCTCATGACCCAAGTAATTGCATATTTCATGACGGTGGGAGCTACAAATGAATTATAGACAAGGGGGGTCCTTTGCTCCTGCTACTACATGTGACATCTTTTATGTGTGTCCTTCCATTTCTCCTTAAATCCCTATCCTTTAATCTAGGTATCTATTTCTCGGTGTGTCTGGCCCTCATGGTCATCAGTCTACTGGAAACGGTCATCATCACAAATGTCCTCCACCACAGCTCCATGAAATATCAAGAGGTTCCAAACTGGGTGAGGGTGGTTGTCCTCAAACACATAGCCACCCTTATCTGCTACAGATGGCCTGAGGACATCCAGCGCCCCTCAGTGCAACAGAAGGATAAACCTGAAAGCTCAAACAGAGGTTCAGAGTCGTGGATCATCCAACCAGCCAGCCAGACAGCTCCCCAACACTCAAACAGCAGCGGAGGTAATCAAACACTGCTTTGATATTGCTTCTGCCAACTGGAGCTGCTCAGTGGCCTGACGTCAAAAATATTAGCAGTCATCTATTAAAACATTTAAATCTATGTATGTCACATATGGAAATATATCTGTAATGACAATTTCTACAGAGTAAAACAGTGAATCATAGTCTCGTTATAGGAGCTGTATGCAACATTTAGAGCACATCAATGATTCACAGGCTGAATCAGGGTAGTCTGCACACAGTTCTCAACATGGAGGTGGATAAGCTGGCGGCTAGCGCTAACAACAGCAACCGCGCTGACAGAGCTAACATTATTAGCCTTGGGGGAAACTGGAGGTTGGGCGCTACACTTTGGCTAGCAGCAACGCCATCCTGATATCAGCAGTAACGCTGCATAAAGACAGTGCAGAGCGGCAGCATTTAGCTTAAAAAAAAAATAATAATAATTAACATGAACATGCAGCCAGACCTGGCAGCCACCAGATGTGAACTATCATCAATGTGTTTGCTATTCTCTGGCCAGGTACAGCTGCTCTTCCTGAACTGCAACAGATCTGTCAATACCTCAGCGACCTTCGTGCCCACCTCACCTCGCTGCAGAAGGAGAGCGAGCTGCAAGACCAGTGGTGCCATGTAGGATATGTCCTTGACTTCCTGCTCTTCCGCATCTATCTGCTGCTTATTTCATGTTATGCCCTGGTCATCATCTCCATGTGGTGCGTCTGGATCAGCCAGTCCTAATTGATCAATTTAGTGATGATTCATAGGATATCTATGTTACAAATTAAAAAGGTATTGTAAAAAGTCATTTTGTGTATTTGCCTCCTTTTTTCATTTTGCAGTACTGCTAGTTTTGTGTCCTGCATTTATTTAGCCCCTGCTAAAGTACATCCTAAACTCTTCTAAATAATCATTTTATTGGGAAACTATTGAGAATGCTGTTTTTGTTTAATGCCTTTTTGAATGTAAATGACCTGTTGGACAAAGTTTGTTTTCTCTGTGTACTTTAGAATCATCTATACACTGTGCTTAGTTGGTTCAGGTTGTTCCTCAAGCCGGGGCCATGTTGTTATCACTGGTGGAATCCCTCAAGGTTCCGTTCTCGGACCTCTAATATTCATCTTGTATGCTCCATGCAAATAATGTATGTAACAGCCAGACAATAATATTATATCACATACTTTCTCTGTTATTCCTGTTATCCTACAATTAAAGGCTGCAAATCAATCAGTGTACTCCAGTCACTTTTTATTCTTGACACACAACAATAACTTCTTTAGACTACAACTACAGACAGTCGGGTTTCGAGATGGAGATATGTTTGGGATTGACAGAATGTTAACATGAAATGTTTTATGTAAAATAATTTAGCATCAGAATTGGGGGTATAAAATCATCTATCACAACATGTGTGTCTTAAATAAATCTTTTGTTGTTTCAGTTATTTGTCCTAAAGTCATAAAATATAACAGCAGTGAAAGTAGCACTGTAGGACAAGTAGCTACTTTCCTAAATGCTACTGCACAGTTGAATTGCAGTTTAATAATGATGATCTGGTACCAGTGTATTGTGAAGCATAATTTGGCAATTTTGCTCTCTCAGCCAAATTAGTGGGTCGTTTTTTTTGGTCATGCTAGCTGTGTGGCTCTGGGGATTGCAATGCCAGTCTGAAAAACTAACATAATTTCCATCAGCCTTGGCTGCTCCGTGAGTTTATGCAAATGTGTGGATGCTAATGTGACCCACCCAACTGGAGGATAAGGGTACTGTTAAACCCACCCTTAAGCCTGGCTCCCCAAGACTTATCATCATCTACAGGGCAACACACAGAAGTGTAAAAAGATAGACAAATTTATTTTTAAAAGATATTAAGAGTTACTATAAAAGAGCAGTTTAAATAAAATGTAATAAAATGCAAACCCAGAAGCCTAACCATGATGCTAACGTGAGAATCCATTGAATGACTTAGAGAGGCAAAGCTTGATTGTGTATACTGTTGTGTTTGCCTTGGGTTCAGCTACGACATATCCAATTGTTGACACATCTAATGCCAGTCAACATAAAGATGATTTAAAAACCTGTTGAACAAGCTCACAACTCATTAAGCAAACATGCTCATCAGATGAGCGGATCTCTGCTTGCAGCTTGGAATACCCAAAGGCGTACAGTAAGTCATGCTGCAGTCTCTTTCACAGTCAATATTAGCCTCTGGAGAAGGTTATACATTTCACCTAAGCATTGATAATTTATGTCGTTGCGGCAGAACATCTCAACCTGATGGAGCAGACCGCTGATCTTTTTTGTTTTGTAATTTAAGGTACTTTTCATGATAAGGATTTAACTGAGGCTGAAAATGAGAGATATAAAGCCTGCTGAGCTCATCTTCATCTCTTTCACGCTGCTTCACGGTAAGGCGGGAAGATATCTCCATCTGTTAAAAGCTGAACAGCTGCAAGTCAGTAGCTAAAGGGGCAATTCAGTTACTTTTGGTCTTGTACAGTGGGTTAGGTTCGTTTTCAGAAAATATTCAACTTAAAACTAAAGACAAATACAACATAATAAATTCTTTTTCTCTCTATATATAGTTACTTATAGCTAAAGTTAGAACCATAGTTATACAGTTCTTGTTTCCATGATATATTCAGTATTTCCAGCTTTTATTCCCCCCCAAAAAATAAGGGAATTATATGAAAGCTCCGAAAGGCAAGATGAAAAAGTTGTCTGCCAAAACTAGGTTTATCTCTGACGTACAAGATATTATCTCTTATGTACAGGAAGTTATCTCTGAATATCTACGTAGAAGATATTACTTTTATGCTTAATTTAACTTTTTTAGAGTGGGACAGCCATGAAGAATTGCAGAGATTTTTTTTTTTTTTTGCACAAATGTTACCAATACACGCCACAATAAAACCAACAGTCATCATTGCAGCTGTCATACAGAAGCAACCATATTCTGATAAATAGCTAATGGGTTGCAGTTGGATGAAATAATAAATTAGCAAAACATTGATTATATTTTCTAAAATGTGAACATAGCAGAGAGCAGAGCAGAGCCAACATCCTGTATGTATTAGACACCTCTGTTTTTTGTGCATTTTTATCTTTTTATTATTGACATTAGAGAGATGACAGGAAATGAGGGACAGTGAGGTGCAGCAAAGATACTTTTACTAATAATTTACAGACCTGTTATAAGTATCTAATAAGAACAACTTAACAAAAAATTAAAAAAAAAAGTTCTGGTTGGTGTTTTTTTTGTTTATTTGTTTTTTCCCCAGGTGATGGAGTGTCAGCGCTCATTTTATGTTACAGAAAAGAGTTTTGAAATAGTTGGTTCACAGATGCAAGAAAACATCAACGTGAACATGTTAGTAGGACAAAACATAGATGTATTAAATGTACATAAAGTAAATAAAGAGGGGGGAAAAAGAATAAAAATAAAATAAAATGAAAAAAAGGGAAACTAAGTCTAAGTACAGGACTTCCTTAACCCCTTCTACTCCCTTATCCATTACCTTAATCTCAGAATAGGATATTGTAGAAGAGTGGGTTACAACTGGGGAACTGTACTTTGTGCACGGTCTGATATGAGAGGTTGCCAGATTGTGATATATTGTGTGAGTCTGCCCTTTAAGATGTATCTTATCCTTTCCAAATGTAGTGTGCTGGTTAGGTCACATAGCCACATATTGAACTGTTGTTTCTTCCCATGACATTAGTTATAGCTTTTTTGTCATGATGATACAATAGGAGAGGAATTTTTGTTTGGCAATGGAGAGTTGTCTTTATGCTTCAGGGACACCCATTCTAAGAATGACGATTATCACAAGTTGGAGACAGGTTTGGGTATATGTGCATTTTGGCCTGGCTGGTGTTTGTTAACCATCAACAATGCATTTAGTTACAACTTATAAACCTTTTTATGTGCCTGACAATCATGATGTGACTCTACTCGCAGTTTTTCGATGTATTCAGACACAATTTAATGAATGTGGCGGTTCAATATGTGCATTTTTGTCAATGCAAACAGTCAAGTGCACTGCAAGAACAATGAGCTTTTGTTTTTTCAAGATCATTAGCCTGTTATCATGTGAGAGCAAGAAGACAATTCACTTGAGATTCCAAGAAAGCAGGGTAAAAAAAAACAAAACAAAAACCTTTATATCCACAACCAAATTGGCTTCCCTACCATACCCATAGGGTGTAACAGACAAAGACAGGTCTACTATGCTTCTGTGATCACACTAATATAAGAACTGGGACTGAATACTTCAATGTGCATGTATGCTTGCTTTCTACTTTCTTAGGATTTGTAGCAACACTGAACTGCACAAGTCCAACTCCTGAAGCCTTGTTTGATGCATTTGAGAGAGTATTATTCCCTAAAGTGCTACTGCCGCCTGTAAAAAGCTTTTCAAAGTCAGTTAACATAACCATCGGTATCACTGTGGTGGGAGTTGTAGGAGTGGTGAGTCTACACAAACACCTGTTCATACCTGCACATGAGCATGCATAACGTTTTCAATCAAGTCTTAACAGTCACAAATTCATAATCCATCTGTATTACTGGCTCTTATTAATGTAAAAAAAAAAATGTCTCACCGACAGGATGAAAAATCTCAAATCCTGACAACACTTATATGGCAAGTTCTGGTAGGTTCAGATCTGTAAACACCCACCATTTTGCCATGTCTCCTTTCATAACTCATGAACCAGTTGTCATAGAGGTGTCATTGTACTAGTGACAAATTTTGACTTTGTGTGTGTGAATGCATGAACGAGTCGATGCATGCATGCAACTATTGCAAATTTGCACTTGCTTTATGTGATTATAGTGTCTTTCAAGTTATCGTGACTGCATTAGTTTTTTGTTTGTAGCGAAAATCTAAGGGAAGTAGATGTGACTGAAATTCAGAGGCTCTAGCTGTCGGATTTTTCTTATAACTCAAAACGATACATGCACGTCTACTTGTTTAAAATTACTGAAATTAACTTAAATTAAAGTTCATTGGCATATTGTTGATCATTGTGCATATGTTTTTGTTCAAAATGTTAAAATGTCTTGCATTTTGTTCCCCTGGAATGATGTTGACCTGGTGTTTTGTCTTTGTTAATTTATGTAGTGACACATCTGACATGGTTGGACGTCACATCAGTGTTGTTCTGTTTAATGTAGGAGTGGGATATAGAGGGACTGAGGTGGGATGAGGAGGAATGTGGAACTTCGAGAGTCTCTATCCCTCGAGAAAAGCTTTGGGTCCCAGACGTCCACATTGCAGAGTTGTAAGTTCGAAGAATGTTTAGTGATCTGTTTGCTTTTCAATTTATTGTCCAAATCAGAGACAAGAGCCTTAAAATAGAGAAAAAAAACTGAAATGTCAGCACTTGGAATGCACCATTTTAGATGAATATACAGTACAAATTTTAATAAAGGAGGAAGGATAAACCTTCTTGTCTTTGTCATCCTTTCTCCTTTTGATATTTCTTTTAATTAATTAATTTAATAATTAAAAAGTTTTTCTATTCTTTTCTATTCCAGCATGGAGGAGGACAAATCTCCCAAAACTCCTTATGTCTACTTATTAAACACAGGTCGTGTATTTGATGATAAGCCAATCAGAGTGATCAGCTCCTGCCGATTAGTAATCTACACTTTCCCATTTGATATCCAAAACTGCACTCTGACCTTCGGATCATATCTACACTTTGGTAAGCCTGCTTAAAATACAGGTCCAAAAAACTCTTATTTTTGAGCTACATAACTGTGAAAATATTATTTATATTATATTGTTAAAATACAGAACTTCACTTGTGCCATCTAATAACTTCAGAACAAAACTGTGCTATCAAATGTTATTCAAGCTTCGGACGTGAGGATGATTCAAGGCACCACAGCTGAAGAGATCCTGGAGGAGTCACTCGATGTAATGGAGACCAATGGCGAGTGGGAGCTTGCAGGAATCGGTATAGCTCCCCATGCCCTGGCATTAGAGGATGGAAGCTACTCTGAGATCAAATACCATGTGAGCGCTTTTACACCACACACTGATTGCACATAGTACAGACTATTTAAAGTACTGTTTTGCTGTGAGTTTGAAAGAAATCAACAGATTTAAAAGTTTTAAACAAACAGGAAAGGACACAGTACTTACACCATCAGTCATCAATCAAACTGCAACTGAAGCATGACACTACCGATAAAATTTAACAATGACTCAGCAGAACTTTTTTTTTTTTTTTTTTTTTTTTCAAAAAAATGAATCGTTGGATTTTTCCTGGAGCAGTTTTATCACCATCCACAATTCAATCAGGAGAGACTCATTTTTCACCCAACTTGAAATGTTTGACTTGCACACACAAGCCATAAAAACATTATTATCTTTGTCCTTCAATGCATTTGACTCTCCCTCTGACTCTCACAGCTGAAAGTGAACTTGCTACAGCAAATCAAAAAGCTGCACACCATCTAAAGTTAGCAAGCCTGCAGTTTCTCATCATTATCTCACAGAGAAAGTGAGAGGCAAATAAAAATATCCAGCGCTCATGCAGGATAAATGCAAAAACATGGACTCGCTACAGACTAACTGCTTTCATTCACTCGTGCTCATGTACACAGTCTATTACTGTCTCGGTCTCACACACACACTTGGATTCATGTCTCCACTGTTCAGTCTGTCAGGTTTCAGTGGGGTCCTCCCTCTCTGGGATTGTTTTCCCAATTTGCGGGCAATTTTGGCCGCTGTTCTTCTTTCAATTAGCTGCTAACTGCTATCAGCAACTGTAAAATGTAAATCTGCCGCGATGGGTTGCATGCACACATGGCGGAAAAATGTCACACCCGTGTCACCCATGATCCCATGATTGTCTGTTTGGCTGTATTGAGGGCCATCGGTACCATACAGGACACTGATACCATGTACCCTAAAGCTGGGCTTTATCTGTGTCTCTTCCCCAAGATTATTCTGAAACGCAGACCACTCCTCTATGTGGTGAACCTCCTGATCCCCAGCTGCTTCCTTATCACAGTGGACCTCTTCAGCTTCCTGCTGCCTCCCCAGAGCGTGGACCGGTCCTCCTTCAAGATGACCCTCATCCTGGGCTACACTGTCTTCCTGCTCATCATGAACGACCTGCTGCCTGTCACTGGAGATACAACACCTCTCATTAGTAATATTCATTAAAAAAACAATATTGCATTTTATTTATAAGTGCTTCTTAAGTCACCAAAGGAGACCTCACAAAACCAGATAGGACACTTAATACATGACAAAAATAAAAATAAATGAAGAAATAAGTTAGTGGCAGCTGTAATATATTGTTTCTTATTTCATTTCAAAGAGAGCTAAATGAACATGCATACTTCTTTATGCAATTTACAGCAGCACAAAGCTAAGAGCTGCTTTGTTTAAGCACACACATGCTTATTATACTGCAGGTAACTGAACTACTCAGTGGCACCATCAGGTTAACATAGGAGGAACGTGTTTACTATTAAAATTTGTGCTCCTTTTGGGAGTCAGAACTTAGTCAAACTGAACATATATTTTGTTAGGTTCAGTGTGACATATGCCTGGCGGGGGAATATCAGTATCTCCAATTTCCACTATCAACAAATGTCCAAAAATCAGCTTAGAAATCATAGTAAAAATACGCTTCTTGTAATTCCAGAACTCATATAGAAGACTCACTATGTTTTTAAATAATCCATTGTACCAACGTCCAAAGTTGGTAGACACTGTTATTTGTGATGCAGGACATTTAATGCTCCACATTAGATTTCAACATCCTGCCACTGAGTTCCACCTTGTATAAAAACACTTTAGTGACTGTAATTACTTGGACATGAATATCCTTGGTCTGGTTCTTACAGCATCAAAGACACAGCTCAATGCAAATGATCATAACCTGTCAAAACCGTGTATAGCCAACAAGGAGATGAAGAACAGGTTGTAGTGTAAACATCACTTCCAGAATATGGTCATAAAAACCAGGTTACCAGCAGGCATTTAAAAACATACAGCATTTAATGATTAGTGTGCTTAATCCTCCCTGCTCTTGTTGTTTTTGTTTCCTGCAGACGTTTTCTTCTCAGTCAGTCTGGCTCTGATGGTGGCCAGCCTGTTGGAGACGGTGTTCATCACCAACATCCAGTTCAGCTCCAGCCAGTACAGCGCAGTGCCTAAGTGGCTCAGTGTCCTCGTGTTACGATATCTTGCTCTTGTAGTTTGTCTGCCTCCAAAGAAAAAGAGCAACCGGGTCACTGTCTTCCTCAACCCATCTCATGGAGGTATATCATTACTATTATTATTATTATTATTAGTAGTAGTAGTAGTAGTAGTATATAAAAGACATGAGAACTTTGACCAGACATCTGGTTCAAAGTCTCTATGGTAGCCATTTTGGATTTGGATTTGGAAAGGTGGAAAACATTTTTCTTTTTAAAAAAAACTCCCAGAGCTGCAATGCTTGGAGTCCCAAGCATTGCAGTTTTTTGTTTTTTTTTGGTGGCTAAACAAATGTGTTATCTATTTAAAAAGTCACATAAACTAAGAAAAACACTTGGACATAATTTGAATTAAAGATGCTTGATAAAACAACAGCATTTTAATACAGAAAATGGATTGTAATGAATACAACAAAATTTTCTGTATATGTTAAGACGTCTCTAAACTTAGCCATTCCATTTATTACCAAGTTAAGCAAGGAACATCTTTGTGTTGAACAGTCTCCTCTGAAGGGTCATCTCACCATTTCACTGATGGCCTGAGGAGCTGGGAGTTCATCAGTGGTAGTGGGTCTCAACCAGTTGTGTAGTGGAGGGTACACTCAGTATACAGTATATACACAGTATACCCACCTATCAGCAAAACAGCCATTGTAATATACAGGAGAGTATGCCCACTTCCTCATCGGTAACCTACCTATCTACCTAGTTGTACACCCACCTCATCAACTACCACTACACCACTGGTCTCAACTAACCTTTATCGTACTGTTTCCTAAGCTTAGAAAATGTGCAATTAGCCACTTAAGTCAGACGCCAATTTGATTTATCATGAGCTATTCAGCTAAAAACAAGTTATGAGTGGTCGCCATTTTGACAGGAAAATAATGGAAACATTGTTTTTTGGGTTTGTCACACTCTAAACTTTCCGAAAATGTATAGTTTATAAACTACCCAAAGATTTTGAACGAAGGTTGCAGTCAGGACATTGTGACCCTGACTATGAGTGGAACAATGGATTGCTTAATTGTTCAGGGCAAATTACAACAAGGCACCAGTGAAGACGACTTACCACCAAAAGAAAAGGGAGTAGACAGTATCACAAAAGCTACCTATCTTATTTTTTCTTATTTTTGTGATAACACACGTTATTGAGGCTATTGTGCACAGATATATTTACAGGTGTGCCTTGAGATTTTTGCTTGCCCTTTGGTGTGTCTTGGACACAAAACGTTTGAAAACCACTGATTTAATGGACCAAATAATTTATAAGACTACATGTTAAGTCACAGAAAACTAATTTGTTTAATGTCATCTTCATTGTTGAAGAATTTATACGAATTACAAAATTTTGGAAAACACTGTTCCTAACTCATTAAAGGTCCAGTGTGTAAGATTTAGGGGGATTTAGTGGCATCTAGTGGTGAGGACTGCAGATTGCAACCAGCTGAAACTTCTCAAGGTTAGAACATAGTCAATGTTTATTGTTCAGGAGGTTTTTACCGGGAGCTGGATTATCCGCAGAGATCTCTTCCTCTCCAAAACAAACAGTCCCAGTGATTTAAACTGGTAAATCACTGACTAAAACAGTTTTACGCTACACATCAATGTTCTCTGATGCTGTTCCATTGATCGGAAAAAGGGCATTATCCTAGCACCTGCTAATCTGCACTCACTTTTTCTTTTCTTTTTTAAACTTAAATCCACATTTTCAGAAGGTTTTTGGCGGGAGCTGAATTATCTTCAGAGGCTTTTCCCACTGTAAAACAAACAGACCCAGTCATTTAAACCAGAAAAAAACATTGAATTAAGAGAAAATTCTAAGGTAAGGAAAATACATTTCTTATTTTCAGGTGATTTTTACACTAAAGAAAACACACTTATTATATTATATTCCATTTCTGCCAATATATGCTCCTAAATCCTAAGTTAATTGGAAATACACTGCACTACTGTATCCACACAAGACGCAATGACCGAGCAGCGTCTTCTACACTAATCACAAAAACTGTTTGTGTGCTTATTTCCCTCCTTTACACAAGGTAGCTGATACGTACGTGTTTTTCATTAAAATGGTAGTCCTTTCAAGTGCCCGCTCATAACTGTAGAAGTACCGCTTGGTTGTGAGCCCATGGTTACCCATTCTTTATGCTTACCTTATGCACTGATTTTAAACTATAGAAAAACAGTGTTTGATGATCATTTTAATGGACACCTGCAAGCCAATAAGAAGTATTAATTCCATGGCCATTGAATAATCTAATCCAGTGGTTCCCACCTGGTGGGTCACAGTCCAAAAGTGGGTCATGGGTCCATTCTGAATGGACCGCAGGCGACTCAGAAGTGACCAACTGATTAGCTCAACAACATGGCCAAACAAGTACAATGCTGAATGTATTAAACTGTGTGAACCTTGAACTAATGCCTAAGGACAAATCTGGACCCTGTGCCTGGACCAGTTGGGAACCACTGATCTAATCTACGTCCAAGTTAGATTTAGAAAAGAATTACATTCAAAAGAACCAGGCGGCTATTTGCTCAAGGCTTTTTTTTTTTTTTTTTTGCACCGACCTGCACCAGGCTGTTATTTGGTTACAGTTCCTGTCCAGTATGTTTTTAGTGCAAAAATACTATATAATGTAGGGGTGAGTTCATGTACAAAAATCTCTAAACATTTAGAGTGGGTCATTTTTTTCGTGTACATGGGTTTCACTGCTGGGTGGTGCTACTGCATTATACCAGTAAAGCCCCAGTTATCCGAATACCAACCGAACGGGCCATTTAACCAACAGTTACAGGCCGCCTCACCGAAATATCGCCATTCCGATGGTCCGCCACCCCAAATTCTGGTCCCCGAGTCCGGACAGTAAGCTATGGCGAGCCTGTAGAAGCTGTATTCCCCATGCATGTCAGCGATTTTCATCGGGGACGCACTTGAGTAATTCAGGCTGACATTACCTGTTTTTCAGCGAACTCTTCTGGTAATTTTATTAAAAGGCATGGCATATAGGTCCACAGTAACTTATTATTATTATCAAATCACAGCATCCGCGGTGAGAGGACACGGAATTGTGTGCGCTTTTACGCACGCGGGTCAAGGCGATCACGGATATTTGATGTGGGAAAGATGTAGCCAGATGTATTACCTGTTTTAGATACCTGTCTGTCCGTCCGTCTGTCCATCCGTAGCACGAGTCATGTGCACCACTTCACCACCGACCCGTGTGTGAAAGCGCAAACAGTCCCTCAAGGAGGGACAGCCATGAGGCAATGAATGAGGAAATAATCGCCCGGGCTTTTAATTGGACCGGCGTTTAATACGCAAAATGGGGTCAAACCCCCGGCGGCCATTAGGTGCCCGGCGGCTATTTGCCACCAGGCGAGTATTTGGAAATATACGTATATTGGAATTCAAACAACCTGTCCTTTTTTTTCCTTTCTCCAAGAACCAGCAATGAGATCCAGCATCGGGGATATCTCAGCCATTTATCCTGAAAGCGTTTTTAGTGACAAACCTCCAGAGAAACTCCCTGCGGCCCCTCAGTCCCCTCCTGATCCGGTCCTGGATGAACTGAGGAAACTGAGCAAAGATCTCCTGTCCATCCGCCTCCAGATGGACAAACACTTCAAGGGGAGCAGTACCTCGGAGGAATGGCAAATGGTTGGGATAGTCATCGACCGCCTGCTGTTCGGCTTGTACATTATCTTCATAGTGGTCAGCTTCATCACCATCATAGCTATCTGGATCTGGAACAACTCGTACAAAGCATGATTCAACTACAGGGGTTGGGATCATACATATATCACAGACAGGAAATGGTCACACCTATCAGCAGTTTGTATGATGTATTAAAGATGTGGCGGTTAGTATCCTCCAGGGTAAAGAACAATCATCTTGTAGCAAAGAGACTGTCGGCCCTTACTGTGTTGTGTCCTTTAAATCTGAGATCTGACTACTGATCATGGAACAGTACACAGTGCTGAGGAACCGAACATGTTGTAGCTCCCAGAGGTGCAGGTGTTGAAAAATAAAATGGGTGAGTGGTTACCGGAGGTGTTGAACAATAAGTCCTGTGCTTTGCAAAGTGTGTTCATGATCTGGATCCAACTGCAAACATAAAATATGTGAATTGTATGTCTTTTCCATTTGTGTTCATTTACAGTATTTATGAGGATCAGATGATACAGGGTAATGATCATAGTAAAAGTGCAGCTAAGCTTTTTCTGTTGAGGTTATATCCTGCAAGATATAATACCAGTAAATCTAAATGGGCATTTTATAGACCTCAGCTTGCTTTACTCCAAAAAATATGTAGCAGTGATATCAAAAAAAGATTTACAGATCAAGCACTACTCATTTAGAGATAACCTGAAGGCTAAACAGCATATTTTACAATACATGCAGCTCTTCAATTACATTAAGGACTTAGACTGGTCAAAGTAAATGATAAGGGTAATGCAGTTTCTGAGCTTATAGAGTTTTTTATTTTTCTTCTATACTTTTTATATTTTGTATCTACTTTGTATACATTTCCATTTATTAAAACAGGAGGGAGTTTTCATCTTTGTTTTGTGTCAATGCAGCAACGTTGTGTTATGTGAATGTAAACGTGTGCAGGTGTAACCGCATTTGCAGTTTTGCAATTTAAGATATGAGTTTGAGAATATCCTTTATTGACTGAGCTTTATATTTTAAAGTGCAGCAACACCTTTCTTTTTTTAATGGAGGAACTAAATGCATGCATTTGTCACCTGTTTGAACTTTATTTTATGACCATGTTTAATGATTACAAGGCTACAACATTAAAAGATCTCCTCTTTTTTTAATTTGTCTCTGAAATCATTCCTGTATCCTGTGGGTAGCCTTTCATTAGAAGAACCAAATTTTCTAAATCAGTGTCAAAACATTAGGGAATTTTATTTTATGATGATATTATTTGATGATATTTAGGCCAGCTAATTAGATTGTGATTAAAGAATGTTTGAGGTTCAAGTTCTATTGAAATATTGTCACATTATATCCACTAGATGGTGCCATCGATTGATGATGGAGTTCTGAGGTATTTGTTATTTTCTTGAGTATTTCAATTTTCTGCAACCTTACACTCCACCACAACTCAGCAGTGGCGCCCCCAAACATTACAGGAGTGGCCAGATGAGGGCAACTGAAAATCTTAGGATGGCACACCAAAACCAAACGCCACAAATTTCAGGAATTTGATCATGCTTTTGAAGTAGCTGAAAACTATATTTATATGGAGATTTAAGCACTCACATACAGATCTACTTTTGGTTTCTTTTTTTACAGTTAATGCTACGATATGCACAGACTAATACTGGCACAGTTAGCATTTTGAGTTCCAATCCTGTTTTAATATGTTTTATGTCTGTATATATGTGTTAGGCAATTTCCTAAAGAGATAAATATACTTCTCTACAGCTACATGTATATCTACAGCTACATGTCGCAAATTGAATCCCTTACTCTACCACGAAAGATTCAGCACTTAACAAGACTGAGTGTGTCGGCCCACTCAACCATGAGATATGCAGGTTTGTGTAACTAACTGGTAACCATTTGAGCTTCAAGCTACAATGATGTGACATTGAAGCAAAGGAAAGGGGACGGGGGAGGGCGACATCTAGTGGCTAATATTTAAGTAGCACCTTTAATGTACACAGCTGTAAACCCCTCTAACCACACACACACACACACACACACACACACACACACTTTTTGTTCAGTTTGTTTTGATGACAAAGAGGTCACCATTGCCTCACACTCCTTACAGCACATATTGCATAAGGTTTGGCTACCGAAGATATTATAGTTGGGTTTTTTACTACACAAGCGAAGGAACTCCAAATATTATATGACCTTCAGTTAAGAGCTAAAATGATGGGTCAATTAATCTACAACTATGAACTTTAAACAACATCATCTGATTCCTGGTTGTGTTTTTACATCAAATATAAATCTTTGGGTTTTGAACTGTTGTTTAAAAAGTCACATAAGAGAAACAAAATATACTTGCAAACCAACTTCAGTTTAGCGTTAATTAGCTTAGCCTTGTCGACTATATTGTTCTATCAACAAGCAAGAACAATAACCCTCATCAACAGTCTGGCCAGTCTTTTATTGTCATCATACTTACAGAACAAAGACAAATGAACACAAATAATACATCATAATAACAATAATTAACATTTTTAATAATAGACATGTTGATCTGTAGTGCACTATAAACCTCCCCACACCTCCATGTTAAAGGCAGTCAAAGGACAAACAATCTGCTGAGCTGAGGAGGCTTTCAGTGGAGTCGAGGGGCCACTTGGTTCAGGAGCCGTGAGCTGAACGGTTCAGTGTTTCCTTTAGAGGCAGCCGAGTTCAAACTGAAGACACGGGCGCAGCTTTTCTCTTTAATTCTACTCTGTGAGGCCTCAGGAACATGAATATCACGTTCATTGCTTTAAGTGGTGTCTCATGAGAGTTTATCTCGTGAGGGATCGTACACATACTCAAAGCCTAATGAGGACGGTACGTACTGTGGAGGATGATCTATTAATAGGCTTGTACATATAAAGTTGTACCTAGGACTGAAATCAAGGGGAAAGGGTTTGATTAAATTAGTGGGCTGCATATTTGTTTCCCACAAGTTCTTTTTTTTTCCAACATACTCTGGTGGTTAATTTAACTCACTACAGAGCTGCTGATTAGATCGTTGAGATGAAGCCATAGAAACAAACTCAGCCTCATGATACATAAAGCAGCCCACATGAGCCGTAGCATGTGAGAAGTGTCTTTATAATATATACTAAACCAGTGGTTTCAAATCTAAGGGGTCCCAAGATAGATCTGAGAGGTCATAAGATGATTTAAAGTGCAAAAAAGGAAAGAAAGAAAAACATGTTTTGTTCAACTGCTGCAGCTTTATCAGTGCTGGCGGGCCTTTTTTGACATATTCAGACTAGCTGTTTCCCTCTGTTGCCAGTCTTTATGCTAAGCTAACCAGCTGCTGGCCCCAGCTACATACTTAGCATACCTATTTTCCAAACACTTACAGATATACTATTCAGGATTGTCTTAAAAAGCAATGTATAGAGTCATACAAAAGTAATGCCTCTCAATAATCACTTAGGGCCCACTAGAAGTGTGTGGCAGTTTATTTCTATTATTTCTCTGGCTCTATTTTCTCCTCATGTGCTGTGTTCGGGACGCCGAACGAGAGTGAATCTGGGGGTGGCTTTTACTTTCACTTTCAATGGTGAGGGTATGCACTAAAAGTAAGCAACAATTCTGCATAGTATACCTTTATGATGTTCTTTTAAGGGCCGATATGGTTGGGAGCCCCTGTGCTAGACTGCTAAGATCTGCTGGAGGAGAAAACCCACTTAAATAAGAAGAATTTCTGTCTTAGAGGTGATGAATGGTGATGATTTTGCTATTAAATTGTGGCTCTCTTATTTTGAATTGACACCCCTCACAGTAAAGTGCAACCCAGGTGATAAAAGCTTCATGAAAGAAACAGATTTCATGGTGAAAGTTCATACTTTTATCATGAACTACAGAAAAAACCCCAACGAGTGACGTCCCAACTCAACCCTCCAACAACGACAGACAGGATCAGTGCAATTAACTCGACTTTCTTATTGTTCCAAAACCTACAACATTAGAAAACAAGTACTGATTAGGCTGGTGCAAACCATTTGTGCATGGCTGCATGTACAGCAGGTAGACATGTGTGCACACACACACTCAAGCACTCTTAATCACACAGCTTCTTCTAGTAACCACACACACACACACACGCACGCTCACTCACACAAAGCAGCACAAAAATGGAGCATTTGTAGTTTCATTTAAAATATCTGCAACACGACTCTAAAACTCTGGAGTCCAGTCCTTCTATAAAGTCATTTCCAATGTAACTCCGCTAGTTCTACCAGTCTAAGTTCATTGGTCCCAGAGGCACATAAGCGTGGCTAAAAGAGCTTAAAACAGGACAGTAAGGACGGGGGAGGAAAACGAATTAGTTAAATATCTTCAGTATTTTCAAATCAAAATAAAAACCTCAACATAAAGGGCAGGATTGCTCAAATACAGTATCTGCACTGAAAAGTCAGACAAAAAGTTAAAAAAAAAGAAAAAAAAATCTAAACTTTGTACTTGCTATTTGATTTCTTTTTTAAAAACAGATCCTGCCATTTTAGGTCACAAAAACAAACGTCAGCTAAGCCAGTAGCCAAGAAATTTACCAGAGTTGAAGCAGTTGCCGGAAGCTGCAATTGAAGGAAGGAGAACTATCAAACCTGGGTACAATAGTCTGAACAAATACCGTAAAACTTGGTGTATAAGTCGCACTTTTTTTCCCCTTTTTTTTTTTCCATCTAAAAAGTTGGGTGCGGGTTATAGACCGGTGCGACCTATAGACCAAGGTAAATGCTGACATAGGTAATTTGACCCACAAGATGGCGCTACGTAGTAATTTAAACTCATTCTTTTTTGGGATTTGAGTAAGCATGTATACTTACAGCCCACACTGTAATAAGGTACTGTAATGCTGTCTTCTTAAAAAAGAAAAAAGAAGTTTAACGTTAATTTAAACTCATTTTTATGGCTCAGATGTTGTTATACCGTAATTTTATTTCCTGAAGAGGTTGTTTGGAAAATTGCAATCTGAAAAGTAACCAAAGCTGCTTAAGAGGTTATTGTGTTTTGAATGTGTTTCAAATTAAAAATAAAGGGAAACAGTGTAGGAATAACTTGTATAACGTTTTTATTAACAAATAGTAATATAAAACCTTGTTTTCCCTGTTTGAGACCTTAAAAAATAGACTGCGACTTATATGCCAGTGCGACTTATATTCCAAGTTTTACGGTACTTGTTTTCTCATCTACTTTAATCTCAAATATATCGGTTTTACCACAGAGGAACAAAGTGCCGAGATGTTTAGTGAATCTCAGGCCTGTTTCACACATGTAGCAGCGACAGGGCCAGCGTCAAATATCCCTGTACGATTCAGCGTGGATTTGTCACACAACTGCCACTAGGGCTGACCCGCATGCTTCGAAAATTCAATCATTGCCATGGTAATCGACGTCCAGATCCGTATTTAAATGCTTTGTTTTTTTGTTTTGACTTTTCAATGGTAAACTCGAGGAGGAAACTACAATAAGGTGGCAAGTGTGACTTGCAGAAACACTGCATGGAATAGTCCACCCTCTTTATCACTCTCTCGCCCACACAGCGGGTCGGGTAGTTGAATATATTACCCCACACCCAACCTACGGGTCACATCACGTCCTGTCGAAGCTTTGAATATTTGCAGGTAATTGTCACGAAAGCATCGAAGCACAAAAAAAGGATTCAGGACAACCCTAACTGCCATGTCTTTTTTTTTTGTCCTGTCACTAGTGTCAGACAAATCCTACATTTTTACTTATGCTCTAGGAAATGAATAAATAATTATTTTAGGAATTAAATATTGAGGATGAACCCATGTCTAGCTAAAAGAAAAGTGCTGGAATATCCTGTGTTTCCGTAAAGAAATCCTGCATGGGCTGAAAAATTTCTCTAAAAAAGTCCCTCAATATTTGTGGGAAACCAAATTAAAGTTCCTGATTCAAAAATTACGCTGAAATAACTACTATTTAGAGTAAAGTGCATGTGTGAAAGGGGCTTAGTTCACACTAGATGCATCCAAAAAAATCAACAGTCGCCACACTAACATAACTGCACATCTGGCAATCCACTGAGATCAAAACATCTGTTTTCAGTATCGTCACCCAGGTCTGAGAGGACTGGAGCGGAAACGAGAGGTGGTCAGTCACTACAATCATGGTCGCATTGTGCTCTTCTTCTGTCTCAAAGTTTCCTCTGACACCAGCACTAAGGCCCACCTCCCTCGTCCTCTTGTTCCTCCATGTTTTTGCGTGCCATCCTCTCTCTGCGCTCGGCCAGCCTGTGACATCGAGGACAGTCTTTACCTGTCCGGAAGCAGCTGCGATGGTAGCACGCGTGGCACTCTGTAAAGGGGAAAACATCACAGAAAGTCAGCAATGGAACACTTGAGGCAAATAAATCATCTTAACAAAAGAAGGATGACAGTTCACAGCAGCTTTCATCAGCTAAACCAAACAATGCAGCGGTGTCCACAAACGTTAACCAGCTCAACCAGTTTGCTGACAAAGAGATGTGACGTGTCAACAGAGCAGCCAATCACAATGAGACCTGAGGGAGGCAGGGTGAGGAGCAGAGTATAAAAGACACAGAGGTTAGAGACAGCGCAGCAGAAGGCAGGAGGTATGTGAGATGGCTGATATCCTGAGAAGCAAACACTTCACACCCTAAACCTGCCCAGGCACATCCCGTTTTTCCAAACTAGGCCATAAAACTCTTAAATGTCTTAACTAGTCCACTCCAACGGACATTTATGACTGCACACATGTCTAAAATGATTTTAAACACATGATAAAATGACAGGCAACGCAACTTTAAAAAAAAAAAGGTGTTTATTCATGTTCACATGAAGACGAAGCTTAAATTAAAGCAACTTAAAGAATAAATTATACATTCATTCTGACACTCGCAGTCACCTCATATTAATGAGACACAGGTCCTTCAACAAAAATCTAAATGAAGACAGCATGGCTTAAAAACAGTCACAGATGAGGCAGCCCAACAGGCACTGTTTCCTCTAAACTGGACAAAGAGTCTAAATTAAATGAAACACTAATTCTAGAGATCTCACAGAGGAAGATGGTGACCGGTTACTACGTTTACATGCACAGAATATTCTGGGGGGTTTTGCAAACACAGCCTCCCTCTTTCATTCCTTGAACAACCTTCGTGAAAAGGTTGGCGTTGCGATTTTTCCGCATATCTAAAAACAATCATGTTTAAAAGTCAAAGTTTTTTCCTACTGACCAGGAATGTAGGCTTTTCTTTTGGGTATGCATTTCTGCACCAAGTTGGTTTGTGTAAAACAGCTCTATGACAAAGAGCAGAGCTGACCGTAAACAGGCAAAACACATGTATACGCGTGTATGAATGCGCTGTGTACATGTCCAGAGAATGGGTCCTAAAACCTGAATGATATCGGCATATCCCACATGTCTAAATCGGGAAAAGATAAAGCCGAAAAAAGGCTTAATTCAAAATATCTATACTGAATACGCAGTTAGAATGCTGTCATATTTAGAGTAATAGAAGAATACCAGTGTGCATGTAAACGTGGTAGTGAGATCAGCTAAAGTAGTGTTTGTGTGGGTTGAAAACAGACTCCTCCACTGGCTCAGGGAAACATGTAACAGACCAAAGCAACTGAAATGTAAACGTTTTAAGTGATACGCCACTTTAGTTAAATCTACCATCCATGTGGCCGAGACAAAGCAGCACAGCACCCTGAGCCAAGAGTAACTACACCACTGATGACCGAGCTTTACACACCAACACCTCTGGAATCAAAGCCAAAGGGATCCACCACCAACTAGCTGCCAAATATCGACCCTCCACCACTTGTGCAACTGTGCAAACTGTGTCAGAACCAAAGCCAAGAAACACCAACCACCAATGCTGTGCAAAGAACTTGGTGCCAAATGAGAACAGTAGGAGAATAAGTATAGAAGTTTCAAGCAGGAAGGCAGAAATGTAGCAGTAGAGCAGCACAATGCATCTGATTATCAGACTTCAGATTAATAATCTTATTAAAAAAAAAAGGCATAGTTTGACATTTTGGAAAGCCATTAAGGAAATATGTAGAGAAATTTGCGGAGAGGAAAGTGAGAAGATGTGCATCACTCTCATCTCACTCTCATCTCATCAGGCTACTATATATGAAGCTACAGGCAGGAGGAAGTCACCCAGCCAAGAAATAGTGCAGCACACCACTCCCACGTAAGACACATCATTTCTCTACTTTTCTATACTTAAAGGTTTTGTAAGAACTAAACAAATGAGAAATAACATGTTAAGTATTTGAAATCTACAGACGATAAACACTGCTAAAAACATGTGAAACAAGAGTGGACTCTGACAAAATAAAACTGTTGTAAACCTAAAATCCTCTACAGACTTTTACTGATATGATTAGAAGAGGGGAACTAATCTTTAAGCTGTCAGTTACCTGCTATCAGTCAGACAAATACAAACTACTGTTTCATCCAGCAGGTCTATCAAATATAAAGCTTTCAGCATTTTATAGTACTGTAACTTGTCTCTTAGCTTCATATTGCTCTTACTCCTGTCCTCCACCTCTCTCTGTACTAGAATCTACATCATTTGTCTCAGCATCCTCTCCACTTTCTTTAGTGCTTCCTGTCTCTGTCCCTTGCCTGATCTTCCTGCCTCTTTTTTCTCTCCTGGCTTTGCGAGTTCTGCGACCTCTCCAGTTAGTCCGGGTCACTACAGCTGGCTCCTCTCGGACGTTCTCCTCAGTATCCATCTCTCTTTCTACATCACCCTCCCCACTTCTATCCTCCTCTCCCTTGCTCGTCCCTCTCGAGAAAACTGTCGCCAGCTGATGAGGTTTTAACAACTTTGTAAGTGTAAATTTCTCTGTGTTTCCTTCATCCCACTTGGCCTTTCCTTTCTCCTCTTTTCCCGAAAATTTCTCTGATAATCTTTCTGCAGACTCTTCCTGTTGCACCTCTGATTTCCTTTCATCCTCTGTCTCTCTTTTTGAGGCACCTTTAGTGAGACTTGCTAACCCTGAAATCCTCCACCGTCCTTTCGTCTCTTGTCCTGCTTCTTCTAGACTTTCCATGCTGCTGTGTGTTTCGCTGCCGCTGCCCCTTCGGTCTCCCTTTGAGATGTTCATCTTTAGTCTGTCTATGTGAAGAACCTTCAATAAGTTGACCATTTCCCTTCTTGCATGACCATGTCCCCTTTCCTGACCCTTTTCTTCCCCATGTTGACCATTTTCATCCTCTTCTCCTTCTACTTCCTTCTCTGAATCTGTTCTTTCTGACATTTCCTGCTCGTCATCATCACCTTTACTCCTGGAGAAAGCTTTCACCAGTTTTCTAGGAGTGAAGGTTTGAAATATTCCTCCTCCTCCCTGTCTCTCTCCTGCTGTGTCACCCCCTTCCTCTGGCACTCCACTCTCCACCTCCTGACCCACATCTGGCTCTAAACCTTCCTCCCCTCCCTCCCCCTCTCTCCTGTCTTTGGAGAGGGCCTTCGCCAGCCTACGGGGATTGGAGATCTTCCAGTCTCTCCAGGAGAGTGGAATGGAGGGGCGGTGGAAAGGGGCTCTCGAGCCACCCAGCAGAGAGGGCTCACCTTCGCAGCGCTGGCACTTGTTCAGCTGGAAGGGGAAGATGATGTCTTTGTCATTGCCGCAGAACTCGCACACAAAGCCCTTCGCCTGGCACAGCTGAGGGAGACCGAAAAATAGGTGACCAAAAAAAAAAAAAAAAAAAGACATTTAATTAAAGTAGGAATCTCTGGTCACTCATGTTTAATCACTGCATGAATTGACTGGATAAACTCTCCAGGTTAAAAGGCACGTAATTATCTTACCACACAGCCAGCTACGTGCATGGTACCAAGTTTAAGCAGCTCTTTCATGCGGGGAGCCAGTTCCCCGTTGCGCACAGCACTGAGGTCATTGAGGGAGAAGAGGTGAAGGTCCTCGGTCAGGTGACCTGGCAGGCTGTCGAACTGATCCAGCACCCTGAGGGCAAAACTCACACTGATGATGTCTATCTTTGCAGGAGAATACATTTATTTTGAGACTGCTGTGGAACACAACATGCACAAACAGGCATCTTACTCTTTAGCAAAGCGACAGGTCTTGAAGAGATTTTTCATGTGAAACAGCTGCATCCTTAAAACCTAAACAAAAAGGAGACAACGCCATCTTGTTACTGTAACATATCCTGACAGACACACACAGCCAAATAGCTTGATACACGGTGACAGGAACAGCAAGGACAGGTTTGGTTTCAAGTCACAGCATCTATGCTGTTAAAGTGTTTAATATTCAGTGTCCCTGCCAGCTAACTGAGGCGGGCAAGCATCAAATTTCTTTCTGTTTTCTAGTAAGTAAGAACTCCTGTGACACCTCTTTAAAAAACAGCTCTGTGCCATTTAATCTCTCTGTGAAAAGGTGTTCATGCATATTCTTGCTCTTTTAACTAGGGATGTTCCTAACAACTAATTTCCCTGACATTTAAACTGAAGTTTACACTTAGACTAGTCGACGAGCCTTAAAGTAAAAAAACATTAAACAGAAAACAGTCAAAAGTGAGCAAAACTTAATCTAATAGGTTGAAAATTGTCCAAAAATTGCATGCATCTTTTTAAGTAGTTCCAACTCTGGCAAAACTTTAAGCATTATCCACTAACCACATGAACCATTTTTAGAGTGTATTATCAGAGCAACTTAAAAATGTTAATCACATTTTTCATTGGGAATGGGAATAACTAAATTAGCCTAATGACTAATTTCCATCTCACTGCTGCTTCTGTGCTCACCCTGACGGCCTCCAAAGCTTTGATCTTCTTGTACAGGCCACTGTTGATGTCACTGGGGTTGAACAGCGGGTCTCCGGCGATCTTGCTCAGCAGATCCCGGGCAAAGTTGCTGACATAGTATTTGCTGAAGTCCCACTTCCTCAGCACTCTGCCGGGAACAACCGCCTGGGCGTTCTCATGGCAGCACTGGCAGAAGTAACGGCCGAGGTATTCACAGTAACGCAGTCGCTTAATATAATCTGAAGTGTGGACAGACAGCAGAGACAGAAGAGGGGTAGAGGTCAGAATATGGAATGATACTGTGTCTGAAAACAAAAAGTAAAAGCACCTCTGCTTAGTATATCTATATATAAGGAAGGGAAATGCCAAAGGAAAACACCAAGTTTTAGGCCAGCTGATCGAAAGGGAAAGTCTTATAGTTGCACTTGTGAAATGAAACTGAAAACAAGAACTGAAACTACGAATGTAAATAAATATTTTGTGTTTTGTTACAGTTTGAATAATAGAAATTTGAAATGCCTTGCAAAATTTTTAAGGACAAGTATTTCTGGGTTTTGCTGGTCATACCTGGGTCGATGCGAGTGCCACAGCCAGCGCAGCGGTAGTTCTGTTTAGCCACAACTATCTTCCTCCTAACAGGAGAATAAAACGTGTGAGTAACATCAAGTTCATCAAATACAGAAGCGGTTAGCTGGGTGTGCCCCACAGGTTAAAATAAATCAACAACAAAATAAAAAAAGAGCAAAATCAAAATAAGAGTGTCAGTGTGGACTCACTTGGGGGCGGGATGAATGTTGAAGATGATCTGCGGTCGAGGCGGTGCCCACTCCAGGTTGCCCCGGACCCGAATCCTAAGCTTGTAGATGTCTGCGTGTTCACCATCATCAGGCGAGATCGGCATAGAGTCGGGGATGGGCAGCAGCTAGGAGAGAGCAAAGAAGTTCAAAGTTCAGTTTTATTGTGTGAATCCCAGTCACTAGGCAGTGCTGAGTGCCATGTGTGGAGAGCAGCTGTTTTGCTAAATGCTGCACGTAAGCAAGACGTCGTACCTTCTGTGGAGCATCGTGTTCTGGAACCAGCCAGTCGAGCTCCGAGGCTGCAGGAAGCTGCATGCCCTCAAACTGCCTGAGTAAACCCATGGCTACTGACTCAGCTGAGTTAGACTGGAGGAAGGATGGAGAGCTGAAAATGCACAAAGAAGGACAGAACATATTTTTGTTTAAATGTATTAAACACGTTTTCCAGTTTGCAGCTAATCTACAGAGCTGACATGAAATCCCCACTGTGGCTCAAATTATCATTAACTTATTAGATGAAAGTCCCCACTGAGGAGATTTTAGTTTTTAAAAGGCAGTGTACTATTGTTTCCGTAAGCAATTCGAGTAACATTCAATTATTAACATGCTTAAAAATTACATAATTATTTATTATTAAAAGGAAGAGAGGAAACAGGAAGTGGCTGTGTTACTTACATGGACTCCGAGCTGAGAAAAGACCTGCCACTGGAGCTTACGCTGCGCTTAATATCTGCATCTGGAAGACACAGCAACAGCAAAATAAAGAGATTTGATCAATCAGCCCTCAACACTGAAATATCCTTAATACTTGTGTAATCTAAACAAAAATTTCAAGATTTGTAGATTTGGAAATACCTGTCACAGGGTTCCTACGGTTTAAGGCAAGTCAGATTTTAAGACTTTCCAAGACTTTTTAGGGATCAGGGGGAACCCTGTGTCAGATGATGGAATCTGATTTAATGCACAAAATTAGGAGAAATATAAAGGAGGCAATCTCTCCTTAAAGATACTGAATTAAACTTAAAAAAAAAAAAAAAAAAAAAAAAATTCACATCCCTAATTAAATTCAAGCTTGTTTTGAATGTAGTTTAGCAGGATGCATGCAGGAAAGCCAGAGAGAATCTAAGGCAGAGCATTGCTGCTACATCTTCTTGTTACACTAGCACACGGCAAACAGCACATGTGAGCAAATGGGGCATCATGACTGACTTTATGGTGATTCTGTGTGCAGAGGAGCGAGCAAGGTGCAGCTGATAGTAATATTTCATTACTGGCATTAGACAAGAATGCATAAACTAAAGTAAAAACGCTATCAAGAGTAAGACACTACCAAGGGTTTTTTTTTACTTTTCGTAGGATACATACAATGTCAGCGCATTTTCTGTTATATCATCATCAATTTGTACTTCCATTCTATCAATACTAAAATGCAACCACACATATGATTTCAGTTTTAGTCCAATTCTTTTGAATTCTGATTAGGTTTAAGTGTTTTGGTTAAACTTGCAGTTAGTTATTTTGGTTAATGGATATGTAGTTAAGTTCAAATCAATTGGGGTTATTAGGCTACTTAGAGGCATTCAATGTTCATTTCACTAAGTTAAACAGCCTATAAACATAAAATGTATCACTTAAAGAGACCATTCACTCCAAAATCAAAAATACAGATTTTTTTTCTCTCTTACCTGTGGAGCTATTTCTCAGTCTATATTGTTTTGGTGTGAGTTGGTGAGTGCCGGAGATATCTGCAGTAGAGATGACTGTCTTCTCCCAAATATAATGGAACTAGATGGCACTCAGCTTGTGGTGCCCAAAACATCAAAAATACATTTGAAAAACTCGAGTTAATCCACAGACTTTGTTGCGAGCAGTTTCACATAGGAACTGTTTTCTTTCTGAAGAACTACACCCACAGAAGGAAGCGTGCATCTACTCATGGACAAGAGGCTCGTGCTGGTAACAGAGCGAGATGTTAACATAATGACATCCTCCTCGGCTGAGCTGTAACATTAGTTAGCTCTGTGTTGCTAGGTGAGCTAGCAATAGAGGCATGTTTCCTTCTGCACAGTGATACGGTTGGCAGATGTAGTTTGGTAGAAAGAAAACTGTTCCCACATGAACCTGCTCACAACAAGGTCAGTGGATTATCTTGAGAAACTGAGTAAAGATTTCTGAATAGAGACATTGCTGTTGTGTTTATCAAATGTATTTTTTTGGCGCTTTGAGCACCACAAGCTGAGTGCCATCTAGTTCTGTTATGTTGGAGAGAAGGCAGACATCTCTCCGCCTCTCTACTCACACCAAAACATTCCAGATAGATAAAAAGCACTATGGGTAAGAGTAAAAATATATTTTTTTGATTCTGGGGTGAACTACCCCTGTAATGCAAACCAAGAAAAACTTTTTACAGCCCAAATCCAAAGCAATATCTAGTCTTTTACTTCACCAAACGGTGATATTCTTTTGATCTATTATCCAACTACAATTAGGTGTAGTCAGTCTCTGACTTAACAGCCCAGCGTGTCTCCATGATAAAATCATCACTTTGCCAGTGCTAAAATTTGCTGTATGCCATAACAGTTAATATTGGGTTCACTTCAAACTTACAAAAGGGAAAAACAAAGTGGAAGAATGTGACAGCAATCACAACTCATTCTCACTGGAGTCACATTGAAGATAATGAATAATGGAGTGGATGAATAGATGGTTAAGTAAGTGTATAATCTCTGTAGTTAGAGTCGCCACTTGTTAACTCGCTTGTCTCCTCCCATGAGCCTCCCTAAACTCTGACAGGTACAGGCACATTTATCCGCCAAAACCCTGGAGCACTGAACAACAAGCACCGACACAAACAGCCAAGCGCACTATCCAACTGAGGCGAGAAGGCAGCTGGCTCAACTCCAAACTGAAAGCTTGCAGTACGCCCCGCCCTGCTTAGAAAAGATTTTTTTGTAGGATACTGGAGAGCCAAAGAAAAATAATCTTTTTCATCTGAGTAACATGGCCAGTGAAGAACAAAAACAGAGAGGGTAAAAACTTCTTATTAATGGATGTTTGCCTACCAGGTACAGATTAAAATAGTCACAAATTTAAGTAGCTGTCAAGTGCAAGTGCACACAGTCATGGAGTACTGAAAGTGAAAGCTGACAGTCCATGGATTTACTAAAACACAATAATAAATATAAATCTTAAAACAAAGTGAGCGTCATTATACTGGTACAGATAAGGCAGAAACTCTCAGTTTGGAGTGGAGCTATCAGCTTCCTCTCAAAGGAGCCGTGCTACAGTAAACTGTCTGTACTTTAGCTATGGAGCCTCGCCCACCACCCGTCCAGCCTGCAGATACCTGAGAAGAGGGAGGCGAGTGACAGGGAGAGGCCGTTCTGAGACACCGCCAGCAGGGACTGACCCTCACAGCCATCTGAGAGACAGAAACTAACACTCAGCACAACCGTCACCACAAGCACAAACATTTTTTGTAACACTCCACAGAGCTGTATGTCAGTGTCACAGGCAAACATACAGTATACTGCACTGATACAGTACGTGTGGAGGTCATGCAGTTATACAGCTGCAAGATACAACAAACTTTGTGTGCTCAAACCGCAGTACTGAGACGTGCAGTTATACATAAACAATACATAAGAACATGCAAAAGAAAATCCCACGACTCATGTTAACAGTATCAAAGCAATACATGTTCTGACATTTCTTTATGTTAGTGATTAGTCTCTTGTGGTTACCATTTGTCACACAAAACAGCAATTCATCATTTAATTCAGAGTGTCAAATTAACTTGGTGAACACTGCCTGGAATATACCAGAAGCTTTCCTACATCAAACATACGTTATCAAATTATCGTGACTCTGTAAATCCGAGCTATGCCAACTCACATGACTGTAACTCAATAGTAACGCAAATAAAAACATTTTACAGTCTGTCATTCTGTGACTTTTGCACTTAGATATCCATGTTTATGGTCGATGGTAAAACGTGACATGCTTGGTGAGCAACATGAAGCAAGTGCGGTGATTAGGTTATGAATTATGACTGGTGCAAAAACAAACTCACTCACACAGACAAAGGATGAATTCTTTAGAGGCTTCCTACATATTTTAAATTTTAAAATGGGGATAGGAATATTTATCAGAGTTCAAATTTTTGACCATTTACAGCAGCTGAAAGGTAAAATTGTTAACTGCATTTTGTCACTCTGTAACTGTAGCTTCATCATCAAGTTAAAAGCTGCTAGCTGAATTGACACAATATCTGCAGTCATATGCCTGAATTGAAGACATGTGGTCACACTGATGTGCCATTAAAAAAATTTAGACTGTTCATTTTTCCCTCATGCCCTCTCTCTACCTCGTAGTTCGCACTCCTCCACCTCCTCAGCAGAGCCGGAGTCTGACAGGCCCTGGCAGGAGTCCTGAGAGCTCCTCCTGGAGCCACCACTGTCAGTGGAGTGGAAAACTGCAGGGGAGGAAGGAGACGAGAGGCAAAACAAAAAATGTGAGAGAAATAAGGGGATAGAAATCAACAACAGCAAATAACACTGTGGTGCAGTGAGTCTTAACTACTGAACAAGACTCAAGCTGTTAAAATATATGTCAATATGTCCATGGAATTATGAGCTGTCAAACTGTCAGGTTAATTAGTACGCTCTTGTGAGAACATCACTGATCCCGGGATGTTCCAGATAAAGAAAATATATATAAATATTTTACCAATTTATTTATTTTATGGAGGGTCTGAACTAAATGGGCCTTACAATACATTAAAGGGCAAAGCTAACGGCAGAGGTGTGCCAAACTGAAATCAAAGCAAACCTGGCACCATTAAGTCCTAGTTGGAAAAGTGGTTTTAAACTATGATTGCAGCTAATAGAAACGTCCTTATTGAAATACACACGTGGTCAATTAATACTTTAAGTATTCCTTTCAATAAATTTAAAGAAGTAGCTCTTACAAACTAGTATATTTGTGGAAGTTACTGTTTTCAACTTAGGGCTATTAACCCCACTACTGAAGTTGCCTTACTGTGCTGGGAGTTTGCGCAGGGTGGCAGGCGGCTGCGTCGGATCTGCTGCCTTCTGAGGCGGATCTTCTGTTTGAGCTGCTGGATCTCACAGTCACTGTCCCCTTCCTCCTCGCCCTCCTCCTCCTGACGGCGCAGGTTGTACTTCATCAGCTCGATGGCAGCAATGAGAGACTCTGAAATGCTGAAATGAGCGTTCTCCTACAGAGCACACAGAGAAAATTATGAATCAATTAGAGGAAGAGACTAATTCTATTATTTGAGTCATGCAACATCATCAGTTCTACATTGCACTATTTATAAACCTTAATTTATCACAGCTTTTGCAAAATTTTAGCACTGAGTTCTTGCATTTGTAAAAAACTACATCACTTTGTATGAAAAGTGTATACAGTCAGAGTTTGACAAAATCAATGACTGACTCATCAAGTCATCACCAGCACGTCAGATTTAGTCATGAGTTAAAATGTACCAAGCTCTGACCTTCTCAAGGTCAGCACAGCTGCCAAAGTCCTGCTCTGACAGGTAGCTGATGAGGCTCTGACCCTCTGACGGCTTCCTGAACATCCCATCTGGAACACTGCTGTACTGGGACCCATCTGACACACACACAGAAAATACATGACACAAATATACACAACAGACACTTCGGATAAATTGTATTTTCTGCACTTCTGTAGGATTTTTATTTTCATCTGTTTTAATTTTCGAAATACATTTTTGGTTTTAAATGTCCCAAAAACGGGGCGTCAGTGGCTTAGTGGATAGAGCAGGCGCCCCATGTACAAGGCTGTTGCCGCAGCGGCCCGGGATCGAGTCCAGCCTGTGGCCCTTTGCTGCATGCCCCCCCCCCCCCCCCCCCACTTGGCTGTCCTATTAATTAAAGCCAAAATGCCCCCCAAAAAACATATCTTTAAATGTCCCAAAAACGCCTGATAAAAAACAGAACAAAATTAAATAAGTCTGCCAGGAGCCAACTGCACGCTATCAGGATCTCTTATTATCTAAACCGTAAAATCTCTATGAGACATACACACACCTGACAACCTTTCTATGAACTTCCAGCTCAGGTCCAGAGTGTAACGATTATGGATCAGCTGACTCACTCACTACATTCACATTCAGGAAGTGAAACCTAGTTTTTCTTCGACATTTCATGTCAGCTTTCCTGTCCCACTTCTTCCCATGGTTAAGTTTGCCGTGGACTTTCTCCAAATCTTTCTGAAACATCTGACTCATTTTAAGTGCAACAGTAGCTACAATATAACTGTAGAAGTGTCGCAAATAGAAAACTCACGAGACTCCATGTAGAGGGAACTCGGAGTGCTGGCATCCTTGCGCTGAGGTGAGAAAGGGCTGTAGTCCTTCATGCAGCAGTCGTCCTCTGCTGATTCTGAGACACAAATAATCCATATTAAGGGCCTTTTATCACCTAAATGCTAAAGTCACTAAAACAAATGCTGAATTCTTTTAAGAAAATTGATGAGGAACATGCATCATCATTCATACACAAAGCACGTTAAAAGCTGGTTTGATTTTATCATCGTTTTTCCGTCAAACAATCAATAAAATCCATGGAGATGGTTCGTTTTATTGCATGCACAAAAAAAACATGAATGCTGACCTTTGTCAGTATAATGACATGAATTAGGGATGTAGATACTCAGAAATTAAATCACACAGAGATGACAGATTTCTGTTTATAAGCTGGGGGAAAAGAGTGATCCAATTCTTCCTTTTACTTGAGGAAATATGCTTAAATTATAATATTCAGCTGTGCAGTATGTACAGGAATACACTTGCTTTGCTTCATCTTCAACCTCTGCGCACTTTTTAGTATTAGGTAAAATTCTAAACGTTAATGCCAGCACTCCTATCAGGACGTCACTATGATAACTGCAATTAAACACACAGTTTATACATTACTTCCATTATACTTTCAACAAAACACTGTAAAAAAAAATGTGTTCATGAACAAAACAAACACACAGTAATGGGTCATTCATGGCCTCATCACATCAATACGACCCGTGTAACACAAACCAAAAATACATCGAAGACCAAAAGCACAGATTATGAGCTGAAGGAAAGACTTAAAATGAGAGGGATGGAACGATTCATCAGCATGCAGAGGGAAAAAGGAAAGAGGGGTGGGAGAGGTCAAGTGATGGAGCACAGTGGAACTGCACTGCCAACCTGCTACTGGATCTTCTATTATTATGGTGATTTTTCGGTGGCCCCCTCCTTCGCAAGAACAATAAAAGGAGAAAGATAGAGCAGAAGGAGAGAAAATTACCTCAAGCCAAGACGAGGAAACAGCGCAAAGAGAATAGAGATGTTAATTTGGAGAAGAAGAAAAAAACTTCAGACAGGAAGAGTACACCTTCCGAGAAAGAGTGTGGCTTCACCACATCTTGCAGAGCTACAAATATATACAGACACTATCACATCTGAATCTCATCTTCATTCTATGCAAATATGCAAAAATAGGTTGTTAATCAGGTATGTTTCCATACTTGGTCAACAAAACTTATTTTTTGAATTTTCGATTTAATTTCAACCTCTCTAATTCAATACAACATAACCTACATACAAATGGAGGATAGCCCAGCTTATTGTCATTTGAGTAACTTCAAAGTTTACTCACCATTCCTGAGTTTTTGATTGACCCCTGTGTCAGACAACGAGCGGGTGTGGCCCCTGGACCCTCGACCCGGCCCCTTCTGGCCCTCTGAGAAAGATGAACGTCTGGGTGGGGGCGGGGCTAGGGAACCCCGTTGCAGAGATTGGTCCTGGGTGACGCCCTGCTCACTGCTGTGGGTGGAACTGCGGGAGTCACGGCGGGTGCGTTGCCCCAGGTTACCGATAGCGAGGTATTCAGGACCATCGTCGTACTCGCCGTCGCCAGAGTCCCCGGCCTCAGGCTGAAGGGAGGTGGACGAGGGGGACTCTGTGAGGGAAATACAAGGGACCGAGGCAGAGCCGGGAGGGGGAGTCACACCCCGCTCGCTCTCCTCCGGCCGGGACACACACACCCAGGGAGCTCCCAGGCTGCTGGCTGGAGAGATAGTGTCTGCAACAGAATAGGGGAGATGGATTGAGACACAAGGTCACAGGCCTGCTTCTCAGTTTCTTCCCTTTAACTTGCTCAAGCTTTGCTGATGTGGAATGAACATAGATCAGCTTACAGACTGTCTTGAATCCAAAACTGTAACAATAATACTACAACACATTTACGAAAACAACTCCAAAATGGTTTAATCCATTTTAGTGAGCACAGCCAGTTCGGGACACTGAGTTTTGGAGGCTGTGTCAACACATTCTTCAATATCTGATCTTGTCCACAAACAATCAGGCCTCTGTATAGCCAAGTCAGTCAGTCTATTCACATACAAACTGTAGTGCATTCACAGTGCCATCCCTTAACCCCACCCCCTACATCCCTGTATGTACTGATCACAGAATAGTGACCATTTTCACTGGGCGGAAAGTGTACAACTACCAAAAATGTTCTCCTAAATAAAGACAAATACAAGAAGCCTGTTCCAAGACGACACTGTTTTCTGAGATCTAAAATCACTTTATGGAATGACCTTGCTAAATTTCTGTTCCTAAAATCAACCATAGATCCAGATGAGGCACTCAATACACATCTTTAAGCATGCAGCCGAATCAGAGCAAACGACACATTAAACACGTGTAAAAATCCACAAACCCCTTTAAAAACTACTTTTTCCTCACTTGTGCTGTTGTTATTCTGAGATCCGACTCCCGAATTGTTCCCAGAGTTGTGGCTGGTGGCGACTGCTTCTCGGAGGGAGCAGTTCGAGGTGGTGAGTCTGCGATTTAGAGACTCTCCTCTGGGAGCTAAGTCAGTGTTCCGCCAAACCCCACCAGCCCCTGGCAACACACACAGGCTCTGGCTCTTCAATAGGCCCAGACATGGTGGGCCCTTCAGAGGGGACAGCTGGGGAGAGGAAGAGATAAAAAGATTTTAAGGCCTTGTCTCAAAAATATCTCAAAATTTTTCCTTTGTTTTAAAGTCACCCTTAGTTTTGACTGACCCTCTAAACAGGACGCTACGATAGGTGGAGTAAAATACCACCGCTCATCAAAAGCCCCTTTTACACTGCCTCTTCAAGACAGCAACATCACGCTGTTACACCACCTTGCCGTTCTGTATAAAAGGTACAACTGCAAAATGGGTCGAAAGAGTTCTCTTGCCTTTAAGCCGGCATCAGAGGTAGCAGGGCTCGACAGTGCGAGCGTTTCACTCGCATTTGCGACTAAAAATAGATGTGTGCGAACTGTAAAAAAATATTTAGGGCCACATGTGCGCATAAAAAAAATCAGCCGAAGCAGCCTATATTTTTGTCAATAAAAAAAATATGATAATCTAACCGCAAATGTTGGAGGAACTCCAGCCGCCCTCCCTCTTCCCTCTTCCCCGTGTGACACGGTTATGGGCGGTTTTCCAAGCCACTGTCGGCACAGTGCGCTCTTGCGGCGCGGTAGCACATACACAATGAATGGGTTCGTCAGCGGAGGTCTGCACTTTGTGCGCTCTGTGTGAAAAGGGCTTAAGTCCCACTGTCGGCAGCGTGGAAATAAGTCAAAGTGTGAAGGAGATGGACCGGGTTAAGCGGCGGATCTCCGGGGAAGCCTGCTCCGTTCTCCCCGTAGTTCAAATAATTTCAACTCTGAGCGCAGCACTCGGGCGGAAAATCAGAGCGGTGCGCGACGCCAAGGGTAGCGGTGCCGCTTTGTCAGGCGTTGCTGCCCTCTCCATAGACAAACAATGGGACAGCCAGCGCAAAGCGGTTTTACAGCTGATCATGTGTAGAGGCCTTTAGGGACCGTTCGCCACAGTACCGCTGCTGGGCAGGGTAGAAATAAAGCCCTTTTCACACAGAGCACGCAAAGTGCAGACCTCCGCCGATGAACCCATTCATTGCGTATGTGCTACCTTGGCGCAAGTGCGCACCGCTCTGCCGCCGAGCTGAGCGGCACGCGAGAGGGCGCGTGTCGCGGTGTCTGCGCACTGTGACGACCCGCGCGTCCAATAGCAGAGAAGAGCCTGAAGTAGACCCAGAAGCGGTCACCATGGAGCTGTAGCTCCTGAACGAGCCTGAACTCCCCCAAATCATGTCCTCTGCAACCTACCCCGCGGTGGGTGCCGCGAAAGCTCTGTGTGAAAGAGGCCTAAGTCCTGCAGAGTTTCAGAGGACCTGGAGAATGTTTTAGGATAGTAATAACATTATGTAAGATAATCATATTGCAAAGATAATATATATAAGATAATAACATTAAAGACAAAATTAAAGTGCAATACTTTTTCAAAACTTGATTTTACCTTTCTGTACATTTTGTATACAAATTCATTAAATAATTTTGCTTGTAAATGTCTATTTGCATCACGTTTATTAAAGAAAACACATTATTTGATCAATTTACATTGTGCCCCTAAAGTTCTTTGTGCGCTTCTTACTTTTTCACTGCTCCTTGGGAAAAAAGTTAGCGTCAAGCCCTGGGTAGTAACAGTGGTAAAAGGATGTCTGTATAAACAGGACAAGACCATGAGCGGCATGGGTGTGATGTTTTGATTACGTGTTATGCGTGCAACCTACTGCAGGAGATTTTAAAAGTAGCTGATAACAGTTGGCAGCTTACTCAGCTGCCAACAATGTCCGATAAACTGGGAAATCAATGATATCAGCTGCCATATAACAGGGATGATAAATGATTGGTGCTGCCATGTTAACGACACTGTTACTGTTTAGAAAGTGCTGCTGATGTGCATGTTATATGTCACAGCAGAGGCCGACACTGTTGTGCTACATGTCACGCCTGTCACGCCTCTTTTGCTTCTGCAATGCCAGCATGCTGTCTAAAAATCACACAGTGGAGTGGCATGATGCTGCTGTTGTTTGGTGCTGTGTAAAAATGCAAAGGCGGCATATAGAAGGGACTTCCTAGCAGCTCTATAGCGCAATCTCTGTGTAAAAAGGGCTTAAGACTGATAATGAGGACGTGTAACATTGTGTCATGAAACCAAAGAAAAAAACACATACTGAACAAAAGATTAACAACAAATTGATGATAGATGAGACATAAACACAGCAAGTAATCTCACAAGACCCACCCCGACAGTGTCTACTTGGGCCAACAGTTTGGGGTTATTCTGCTCCACAGCTTCCAGACACTGGAACATGGCGGTCACATGGGGCTCACTCAGCAGAAAGGCATCATCTGAAAGGTAGGGACAGACAGACAGACGGAGAGAAGGACAAACAAAGAGGGAGACAAAGAGATAATAATGAGAGATAATTAATTAGTGGGACATAAGTAAAGACACAAAGAGAAGAGTAAAAGAGAAGAAAGAAGTCATACAAAAGGACAGGAAAACATGACGAGGGAATTAGGGGAAAAGAAAAACTCATTTTAGCTGCTTCTTACTTTAGTTTACACTTAACACCAAAGTCTTTTAAGTTAAACTGGACCGAAAACACGACAGATAATCTGTTCCTCTGCCTCCTCCTTGTGCTCCTAACAGCATTTGCAAGAATCCACCACGCCCAAATGAAATAACCAATCAGAGCTTGTGCACAGACCCCCTCCCGTGTATGCTCTCACTCAGTAAAGCATAATTTCCTCAGCACAGATTTAGGAGGAGCTCTGCAAACACAATTGCTGGGGAAAAAAAAAAACCACCAGTGATGAAAAATTGCCCAACCCTCCTTCGCCAAAACACCGTACACAGCAAAAACAACAGAAGAAGTTCAGAACAAGCTTTTTGTCACATATGTTTTGCCAAGTATGTTGTTGTTGGCAGTGCAGCATGTGAACGAGCAGTGATTGACATTGCATAAGACTTCTCCAGGCTCTGACTGGTTGGAAGAGCCAAAGGAACATGACTTTTAAACAAATGTCATACATTACTGTCAAGATGTGGTGACAGTTTCTGAACATATGACAACATTTTTTTTTTAATAGAAGTTACCTTCTGTAGCTTTAATATGACACTCACCATTATAGTATTTACGTGTATGCCCCAGATGCCGGAGCAGAGGTCGGAGCTGAGCGGACAGCATGTGAACCTGTAAGCTGTGAAGCAGCCAGCGCTCAGCTTTGTAGCTCTCACCGCCACTATGCATCCCGCTGGTCAGTACCGGCTCCAGGTGGCTGAACTGTGGACGGAAAGAGAGAGGGATTGTGAGAAAGAAAGGAGGAAATGTTTTTGGTCCATGTTGTTCAGTATCATAAGCTCTTTTCCAAATCTTATTCTGTTTCCTCCAAACATGCTGTTGTTTGTGTGCAGCCCAATAAAGTCTACCAGTCTGTATGATATTCGATCTATTCCTAAAAAAAGCTACAGGGGAGTGGTGAAGAGACAGGTCTGACATGGTTGGCTTGACAGTCTACACACTGTGTGAAAAATGAGTGGAATGAAGAGTGACAAAAACACATCTGCAAAAAACAAAACTAAGAGATGGGAGACAAGATATCACCAACCAATTGTTACATGAGAATTTAATCATGGCAAAGTGTACTGTTAGCCCTGCTGTTAGGGAAACAGGGTGTAGACTCCAACTACTGCACGTACTTTTACTGTTGCACTGGACTGGGGTTAAACGTGACTGTTCTCCACAAATTACCACAACACAAACAGGTAGGACAACAGGTAATCCAGGAAGTGCAGTGAATCTGCCCAAGGCATCTGACAGTGTAAACAGGGTCAGATATTTATCGTGCATGTAACTAAAAACTTGACAAAAGAATGAGCCATTGTTCTCTTCCAAAAGGCAGATCGGCTCTCAAATTCACCACCTATTTTTACTGGCAAACAAGCCAAGTCAAACACAGTTTGCTGCCACAGTGGCTAGCGGAGCACACAAACAAATGTGGGAATACCACAATATAAAATCAAAAAAATGGGTAATACACATTGCTATCATCACTCTTCCATAACGTATAAGTCACCAATTTATTCTCTTCTTAAAGTAATAACAGTGAATAAGATGCGGTTGCACATGATTTGTGGAGTGTGAATATGAATTAAAGAACTGAAACATTATCAGCAGCCCCCTCATGCTGTAAATGTGGAACACAAAAAGTTCTCAAAATTTCCAACACTGTTTTAAGCTCCTGAAACAAAACCAAGAAACAAGATGACATGTGATAAGGAGATAAATAAAATCACAGTGCCAAAAAAACTCTATCAACTCATCACAGTCAGCTTTGTAAGTTTCGTCAGTGATTTCTTTTTCCTTTATGTTCAAGCATGACTAGTGATCCTAGAACACGGAATATACAGTTTTAAATACGTTTGCAGATTTCACTCTCCTCCTCAGGATTGTTGTATTATCAGTAAAGCCCTAATTATTGATACAGATTGCCTGACAGCGACTTTTATTTCTTCAGTTAGCAGGAACCTGTTTAAGCTTATGGGTAGTGCCATATTTTCACACAGTCATATTACCAAATTTCTGGAAACATAATGAAAACTGCACTGCAAAGTAGAGTCTGCCATGTGAAAGCTCTAGAGAAGTTGACCATACACTGTTAAAACAGCTCACAATGAAAATCTGCATAAGAAAAAAAACATAACCTCGAGCAAGGTAGTGCCGTTTAGGAACGTATTTGCATTAACTTCCCTCTTGTGACAAATGCAAGAGATTTGTACGCTGACTGAACTTGGAAATATTTACACCATCCATGTGGCTGCCAATGATCCTACCTGTTCAACGTGCGAGGCGAGGTGGGGGCTGATGTAGCGAACACACCACACAAAAGGCCAGTAGTCTCTCTGCTTGTAGTACACCTGTGACACAAAACAAGCACGACCTAGTTACAGAAAGTACATGAATTCATTAAGCTATTACAGAGTGACACATTTCCCGTTGGTATTTAAGGAAGTGGACTGATAATGATGGGTTATACCTGTCTAATACTTGCCAGAATGATGGTTTGGAATTTTCTTACCAAAGTGAAAAAGCAACACATCACCGTGGTCATGTATTCTTTTTTTATGGTCTTTGTTTTTTTTATTGGACTTTACAGTGCTCCTGCCAGTATTTGGTTCCCTATGTACAGAGCATTATGCACATGTGCATCATCATAAAAGTTACTGTATAACTCTGGTTTATCAGTGAAGTGTACCAACTACACTGCAGACTGGATTCTCTACTCACAGTGACAAACAGAGTGACAAGGCACCTGACTCATATGAACAGTCCAATGCGGGCTGAAGGCGCATCAGCAGGTTTGTATTATGGTGTTTGACATGTCTGCATCATCACTGCACTGTGTTTTTATAAAATACAACAATGTGATCACAACTCGTGTTGCGTTCAGGCGCAGTCTCACTCCCTCTTCATGTCCTTGCAGTTCTTGTACTCGTACAACTGACGTTACATCCAGTAACTACTATTACTACTACTAACTGCATAACATTACCACCGGTCTGTTTTGCAAACTTAGATGAAGAGATTGTGATGTTCATTAAAACTTATATCTTATAAAACTTATATCTGCCATTTTTACATTTGACATACAGCTCCAAGTGCTCTTGCTCCAGTCTCAGTTTTTGCTTTCTGTGCACGACAGCCTTCAGTGTTGATAGGCTATTAATCGTGACATGTAACCAATAGCACTTTGGATGGGACATTGAGAGAGGCTACAGCATGGGGATTGGAGACAGAAGGGCTGCATCAGACATCAGGTAGTGTATTTTTCCATTGATTTACTGTAGCAGCAAAAGACAAAAACAAAATGTGGTGATTACCTTGTCGCAGGAGCAGCATCACATGACTGTGGTACTGCACGTATGCGGTTATAGTCACAACAGCAGTAGAGCATGTGATAAAACCTATTGCGACCATTCCTGACAACCTGCGGGTAAGTGAATAACTTACTCTCTGATGACGGGAACATTTACTGGAAATGTAACTTCAGTTTTAATTACTTCTGTATTGAAGTTGTCAGTGTCATTTGTCTTAGCATCTGCGGTTGCAATCAGACTCTCACCAAAGCATCATGTGACATCACAGGTGTAACATGTGTAATCTGGAAATACTGAGCCGACTGATACTGCAGTTTGTTGTCAGATGGTGTGGTATTATGGGGTTATGGGACACACCTAGAATCACTTACTCCTCCATGTTCAAACACAGGACTTTATTGCAGATCTTCAGACTTACGTTTACCAAAAGCTAACTCTGACCTGCATTTCTGTCAGAGCTGGCCGGACGTCACACAGAAAAGGATCAGGAATCTGATCAAAAGGGGATCTCAAAAAGGGAGTGGTGTCAGTCACATCTCCTGAGTTCTGACCTGCTCGTTTTTTAGTCCATGGCTCAGGATGTTGTTCATGTCCTTGTGGAGCCGCTGCAGCCCACCATAACGTGACCACACGTTGGGGTTGTTGGTGGACAAAAGACCCTCTACTGTGGTCTTCAGGCTGGACAGTAGCTTCCAGTGCTCCTTCCTGTGAGGAAGACAGAGCAGCAGAAAGGAGTGAGACAGGGTGAAGAGGGAAGTTTGGTAATAAGGAAGGAGGTTAATAAGTGCTGATGTTAGCAGTGTTGTGGCTTAAATCATTATTCACATGAACAAAAAAAATTAAAAACCAAGTCTTCAGCAAGTTAGTTATAATAATCTCACTTTACTCTGAACTCAATGACTCACAGGGAGTGCTAACTTTCAATAAATGTGCAAGGAGTATCACCACATCCTTGCCTAAAAAGACAGATACATAAATAAACACTGTCCTGCTTCCTCCCCAGAAACAAAAAGGTTACAGGAGCTCTGATGTGTGTGCATTAGAAGCTTTAAAGTTATCTTCCATCCTCAAGTCTCAATGTTGATATCCTATATTACAAACTACAAAAAATGGTTGGCATGGAGTCACTGGGCAAAGATTATCATAACTGGAAGTTATTAGTCCTGTGTTCAAGATGTGCAAGTTCAGGAAGTCAAACTTTATCTTTAGGATACAGCTATGGAAAGCTGTTGCTCAAAAAGTGTCGAATGCAAAACAAAATTCGATCAGGTCACATTCCCTAAGAGCCACAAAGTGCTGGCTCATATCCAGGACTTCCTCTATTTTTCCCTTAAGTCAGCAGTCGAGCTGAATGCTATTGAGTTCCAGTCATATAGCTGCAGCGATGGGACAAAGGATCCGCTGTCAGAGGACACCAACACTGGAGGGTGTATTCTTTAAGTACAGGCTATTTTAACTGGTCATCTATTTATTATACTATGCTTAAATGCATTATAAGGTAGAAGAATATGCCTCCAAACATAATTCATTATATCAAAATAGATCAATTAAAATGAAGGTCCAACATTAAATCCAAGACACAACAAGGCCTGCTCTGTTTTGTGCAAGATTTATGTAGACAATGCAGTCATATAGCCAAACCGATTACCTCGTTTTCTTTCTCCAAATACTAACAATCTCCATCTTAGACAGAGAAGTGGATGCAGAGACTGTCGGAAAGTAAAGGCTATGAATCCTATGAATAGCACACTTATGAACACAACAAGCTGCAGTGTCGAGCAGTAGCATCACGAGTTCAGCTCCCAGCTAATCAAATCACATCATGTTACATAGGAAGAGACAGCCTGGACCTTACAGAACATTCTCCACATACTGTAGGGCATGATGCATTTATGCAACAAAGGAGGTGTGTGTGTGTGACTTGTGTTAAGTGTATGTATCTGTACATGTGTGTGTGTTGAGCATCAGAGAGTGAAATTCCACAAGGCTCAGAAAGGCTGAGGTTAAGGATCAACTCTGTTTCGTTTGTTGTGTAACGTTACTCAACATGTGAAGCCTCAAAACATGTTTGTTTGTACAGTCTGACCTTCATATCTGAAACAAACAAATAGGGATGTCAAAGTTGTCATAGCCCTGCTCATCATCATTCATATATCTATTATGACGCAACAAGGCAGGACTATACTGATACAATACTCACAATATGGGAGAGTAAACTGTATGTGCATTGTAACGTTACAGACTGAAAGACTACGTTACAACACACTCGGTAGAAAACTAGTGAACGTGCAGCATTTCCTGTCAAACTCTTCCAGTACTCCTGTTGTCCATGAAAGCTAATAATGAGTTATTTTAGATGTCACCTTGTGTAAAAATAATAAAGTTAGCTTGCTAAATTACCCAGTATTGTAAACTCAATTATATATTTTCAATTTAAAAGCAATTGATCAATCAGTCAAGCTTTGAGATTTCACCGGCTGACAAGCCTCGCAGATGACGTTAATTGTGTTTGCTCCAAGTTGTCAAAAATTGACATGTCAGGTTAGCCTAGCCTAGCCTAGCTTTGCCGCTAGCACCCCAGCGTCAGTAATCCCCCTAGCTAGCTAGCTAGCTAGCTGGTTAGCTAGCTAACATTACAACGGCTTAGTTTAAGTGAGTTGACGCCCCAGAAATAAATGCTGGCCGGTTTTCTTTAACTGTTGAGTGATTTCTCAGTGGTATATGTTCTAGTTTTGTCGTATTGGTAAGCACACACATTTGTAAGCACTGCTTAGCACAGCTAGCCGGGTACCCAGCCCAGGCTGTCACTCACCTGCGCTCCTCCGCCTCACCCTCCGCCGATATCTCCATCTCCTCCGGGCGGAATCGAGTACCGTGTAAGGCTGCCAGCTTCCCCGTTATGTTATTTAGTACAACGGAATTTAATCTCAGTAGTGGAGTAGCTTGAAGTAGTTACCCGGACTTCCAGTCTTCCGCCATCTCTGCCCCGCCTGTCCGAGCTGTGAATCAAAACAGAGGAGGCCGCACAACCTGCTATCATCAGAAAGTGGGCGGTGATGTCTCCCCCTGCTCTGCCCACTTTTTAACGATTATCATGTTTTACTCCGGAATAAGCTCAGTGTTATTTTGCTCTGTTGTTTGTGCTCCATGTTTGTGGGTTGCCACTTTGTTTCCAAGTCTTGTGACATATAAACTTAACTATTTAACGCTGTGCAGCTTTCTAGAGGCACATGACTGATGACAGTTTTAACCCTGGTCATCACTGCCACCTGCTGGTAGGAAATAATATTACACTTATGACTGCTGCCCTCTGAACCAAAAAGTGTGATCTCACATGTCTTTGCATCTGCAGTAAAACATTATAATCATTCACTGATTTATTCTCTTCCTCCTGATCCCAAACTGTAAATCTAAAATCGTCAGTCATTAAAACCATGTGTCTGGTATATGTAAACAGCATACACCAGACTAATAGATATGGTTTAGAAATGACAATTGCAGCAGTGGATAACAACAGCATATTTGATAACTTTCAGTCTGCCTCTCGTCAGTATCACAGCACTGAGACAGCCCTTCTCAAAGTCACTAATGACCTCTTAATGAATGCTGATGCAGGCATGTGCTCAATTCTTGCTAAGTGCGGCCTTTGACACAATTGATCATGGCATTCTTTTAGATAGACTTATTAAGCACTGGATGGGCGTAGCTGGTACTGCCCTAAACTGGTTCTCCTGTCGATTAACAGTGTCATGTCATCCATTTCCCATATCAAGTGCGGTGTGCCTCAAGGGTCAATCCTTGGTCCTATCTTGTTCCCAATATACATGCTCCCCTTAGGTGATGTCATCCATCGACATGGTGTCTCTTTCGACAGTTCTGCTTATGACACTCAGCTGAACCTCCCTGTTTAACCAACTGACCTCAGCATGCTGCGTTCTCTACAAGAATGCTTATATGATATCAAAAATTGGATTTATTATTACATTTATTTTATTTTATTTATAGTATGTAATATGGGAAGCCTCAAGACATCCAATACTTCCTAATATCTGGGATTTAAATATTTTCCCCAGTGCACTCTATACTTTCAAAGAAGGTATAGAGTGCACTGGGGTTCAGTAGCATCTCCACAGCTGACAGACGTAACAGATTGGTTGAAAAGGCCAGCTTTGTCCTGGGACTCTGTGGGGGTGGTGGGAGAATGATGAAAGGAAAATGATGGATAAACGATCGTCTCTGATGGAGAACATGTCCCATCCGATGCAGGACACTCTGACAGCACTGGGCAGCTCATTTACTGACAGGCTGCTTGTGAAGGAGAGACACTGCAGGTCCCTCCTTCCTGCGGCTATCAGACCTCACAACCGACACTGCTCTCAGTACTCCACATACACCACAACTGGCAATCATCAGTCATCACTCACTGCAATATAAATATATTCTAACCTGCACAACATCTACTCTTCATATGCACAGTAATATGATATATAGCTAATAATAAATTGGGTTAATTAGTTGTAAATTTAAGGGTAAAACTTATAAAAAAAAGGATAAAAATCTGCAATAAAGATACAGACCATTTCTTGTAAAGATACATTACATAGACTCTGCAAGTGCACCAATTGCCTGAACCTTTCCACCTTTCTCCAGTGCAGATATGCTGATGACTCTTCAGGTTACATCATTTCCTGAAACTCTTCCCACGCTGGACAAAGCAGTGTGGTCTCTCTACAGGCTGGTAAGGCTGGTTAGGCTGGTTCGGCTGAGGTGGATCCAGCTGTTCTCTATGAATAGCCTTTTCTCCCTTTTCAGGAAGTCTAGGGTTTTCACAAAAAACACGTTGATGGAGAATGGGACAGTTAGTCACAAGCTGGTAAGGGGATATAAAATGGTAAATCCTACTTCCTGATACAAGTAGAAACTGAGTTGGGTTTCTTTCATAAAGTCTTCAATGGTAGCCTAATAATCACATTGAAGGATCAAAGGACTGGAGACCAAATGTAAAGTTTAGTCTCAGGGTGATGCCTGAATAAAAGACCATTACTACACAGAGGCTCAGATGTGCTTTGAGCGAAAGAATCAGGGATGTTGTAACTGTTTTCTGGGCGGGGTGCTGTACATGGGAGGTGGGTGCGACACTGTCCAACATCAGAGCTGATCAGGCTTTTTTCTCTGATGTCTTAAGATCCAGGAGCCATATTCACAAACATTCTGGAGTACTCTCATAGCTCCTAACATTTCTGGCAAGGAGTCGTGATTTAGGAGAATTCTCAGAGCAACTCTTGAGCAAGAAAGGGATACAAACTTTTACCTTAGTGAGGAGGACCCAGTTGCAAGGAATGACACATTCTTTTAACAGATGTGACTGGTTGTGAGCCTGCAAGGTGTGGACTCCCAGTGGATATTAGAAATGAACTGCATCACAACATGAGAATCTGAAAGTGTTCTCATTGTTGGTGTGATCACTCCGCTGATGGTAGAATGAGACAGACAGACACAAGTCATCACTGCTGCACCGTTGCATTTTTCCAGGCGCCAAAGATCTTAGTGTTGTGATGACTTTATGTCTGGCGTTATATCATTACTGCAGTGGTTTGGGAGATGAAGGTGCATCTCTAATGAGATCAGCCGCAAACATTATCCCTGCACAGTATAATCTGCAGCATTTTATTTAGCCATTGTCATCCGGCATTTGAGGAATATTTCTCCTGCCTCTGTTCTCCTCTGCTTAAGAAAGAAGAAAACCCTAACCCTAACCCTAACCCTAAGGCCAAAACACACCGGCGACGTCATTGACGCGAGTCAAGTGCCGCCCCCAACACACACAAAAAGCGACACACTGTGAATACGGCTCCAGATATTCAAGAGTTCTTTAGCAGGAGCTGCTTATCTGCAGTGGAGCCCTCTTCTCCGAAACAAACGGACCGGTGATTTAAACTAGTAAAAACTCTGAATAAAGCAGTTTCACATTTAAAAAAAATCAGTGTTTTTCCAATACTGCTCATCGCAGAGGGGCTGCTAAAACACAAAATATTTGTTATTATACACTAAAAAAATGTTTATAACCCTGCACCTTTACACTCACTTTCAAATCATACCCACATGATGGCACCACAGTATTGAAATGTCTTTGAATTCTTTGTGCCCAAGTTGACATGTATCAGTTTGATCACTTGATGGCAGTAGTGAGTCAAGAAAGTGCAGAGTGCCTCACTCAGTAACCATAAATCTCATTCCCAATAATTGCTGGGTGTGGTTACGGATGACTGAATCATGCGTAATTGTCCTTACATAGCACACGCACACACACACAAACACACACACACACACACACAAACACACTCACCACTTCCTTCCCCTGTCCTTTGTATATGACACTTGGGATTCTTTGGTACTGTTGGGTGACGCTGAGACAGCGAGTTTCACAATTATCACAACTGAAGTGTTTTGCTTAGAGGACATGTTATCTCTCAACATGTGGAAATGTTAAATACAATGACTCCTTTGAGTCCAGCTATACAAGTGCAATAATATCGAGGACAATACTAACATCCTTATAGAAAGGTTTTAAATGTCTTTATCTAGACAGTTTCACTCATTCCAATCTCATGTGTGAGGAGTTTTCACATCCTTTACTCAAGTCAAAGTAGAAATATCATAATGAAAAATAGTTTTTACAAGCAAATGTTCTGCATTAATAATTATACGCAATCAAAATTTACAGATTTATTGTCATCAAAATATGCCTTAAGTATCAAAGTAGAAGCACTGATGATTGTAGTGTTTGTATTTGAAATTCAAATCTGGAAAATTAACAAACATGTCTGATTCCTGGCACGTAGGCCTATTTGACACATGTCAGGTGTCAGCACATGTCACGACAAGTTAATAATCAGGTCCGAGAAAGAGGAAATGTTGACATCAGCTTTCAGCCTCCATTCATGGTTTTGCCTTTACTGAAACACACCCCGTTCTTACCACAGCTCTGTGTAAGCAGCTGTGACTCAGAGCTGTAACCTGCTGTGGCATGAACACACATGATGAGCCAAAAGTAGGTGAGTAGGAAAAGCAGCCACGATGACGCAGAGCCCTGCTGATACAGTCATTATGCCTTTGTGCCAGACGCGGCGTTAACAGAGTCATTATGTCGCTGAGATACCTATCTATCCATACTTCCATCTGTTTTATCGTCTGTACGTACGTTTGTCTCATTCTCGTAAAAGCAATTTCTATAAACACCTTAAGGTAATCTAAAATTTGGCACAAACATCCACCTGAACTCAATGATTAAGCTCCTTATGACCTCACAAATCATGTTCTTGGCCATAACTCAAGAATTCATATGCTAATTATGACAAAATTTTATAAAAATGATAAAAGATATATATTTGTATTGAAAAGGTCAAAGGTCAGCTTCACTATGACATCCTAATGTTCTGCAAAAACACTCCTCTGGCCATTACTCAACATCATATCTCAGGAACAAACGAGGAGACATTTGATCAGATACTGAATTGGTGACACTAATCTTGGGTGTCCATCTTTAAAGCTGTGCCGATTGTACAGATATCCCATGCTGCCAGGCTGAAGATGTGTGTCAATCATCCATGTGTTAGAACATGAAGCTTCTTTGCCGCAACTTCCATATTTGAAGCTCTGCCAACTGTCATGGCTGCCATTGAGCCTGAACAGACATGGGTGTAAACTGTAACTGCAGCTTGACTGGTTCACAAAGGCATAAAACCACAAGGCTGTAATTCTACTTTTAGTTTGCAACAAAAACTCCAAACTGCATTCAGATGGTTCAGAGCAGTGATTTTCAAACTTTTTAAGGCTCACCAGAGAGCGATCCAAAATCTCAAGGCACACTTGTATTTATATCTGTGCACAATAGCCTCTATAGCATGTTATCACTCTTATCATCTTATCAAAAATGATTCAAGAATTCATTTTTAACATTTTGAAATCAACAATAAAACATCCATTTAAATGGGAAATAATGTAAGATAATGTAAGATGATGTGATGTGTCACACACTTATAATTTCCACACACGAACGGCAACAAATAGGTTCCCTGTTAGGTTTTTAAATAAGATTAAATGACATTTTTTAGCTTGAGTTTGCCTCTTTATAAGGAAATGGGTGTGCAAAACATACCAATACAGTCAATTAAAATTAATTCATAGCCTTTTTTTATAGGCCCAGTTGAATATTGTCATAATAAACTTATCACAAAATCCACGGCCCACCTGGATTTGCATCTGGGCACACCAGTGTGCTGCTGCACACCATTTGAGAACCACTGGTTTAGAGCAGACACACGCACACACACATNCCACGGCCCACCTGGATTTGCATCTGGGCACACCAGTGTGCTGCTGCACACCATTTGAGAACCACTGGTTTAGAGCAGACACACGCACACACACATTACACACACTCGTGTCCTCATGATACACAATTTAAAAAATTTCTATCCTAATTTCTTTCTTTATTTGTTCATACATGACTACAATTTAAATATAACCCTTAAATGTATTTGTTTTTGACACAATAAATTAAATTTTGACACATCAGAGTAAAATTATTAGACACCTTAAAATCAAGAGGGCTTCGCAACTCCCTGTCGCTGTTTGGCGCCCCTCTAAGGGGGTCATGCCCCCCATGCTGGGAACCACTGGTTTACAGGATATGCAGCAAATAGCATATTCAACACAGAGAAGGAAGTGTGGTGGAGAAAACACTCAGAAAAGCCTTTAATTAGCCAAAACAATGAATTCATGTCCTACAGTGTCAGGGCGTCCAGTGTCTCAGTGGGTGGAGCAGGCGTCCCATATACAAACGCAATGTCCTTGCTGCAGCGGCCACAGGCTTGATTCCAGCCTGCAGCCCCTTGCTGCATGCCATCCCCGCCTCACACCCTGACTACCCTATCTAATAAAGCCAAAAAAATCTTTTAAAAATCCATGAGAGTGTCACAGTTTTCTGAAGTCTCTTCTGTTCACGTTATACAATACAACGCTTCATTATTCTTGGGCAGGGAGTGTAACATTCAACGGAGAGAAAACGCTTTCCGACAAGATTCTGACACGATAAACCAAAAAGTAGGTCAAACAAAAAAGCTTCATGCAGAGGTCGACCCAGACATGGGTAAAATTTTGCCAGATGGTCCATTCCACCTTTCTCTGTACCTAAACGATCAGATTACATGTAACTCTGTAAAACTTCATGAGGGAAATTGGACTCACATGGTGCCACATGTAAACATAGAAAGCAGCGTTATGTGGAGGCTGGGGTCTGCAATACACGAAACACCCTGCTGACCAAACCAGCAATTTGTGGCTTTTAAGATGACAAGCAAAATGTTCAAGTGTTCATGAGGAGTATGGAAATGATGCGGGTGCTTTAAAAGGTCAGTAAGTCAGGCTTCGCTTCCAAGAAGGTGATAGGATTGTGATTCAGTTACTTAGAAAGTTGCTCAGTTCTTCCTCTTGAAACTCCTTTCTCTGTTTTGAAACAAAGCTCCCCTCCCACTCGATAACGTGGCTGTTTTCTGTTTCAACAGGCGACTTTAATGCAAGTGGACGAAAGGTGAGAATGAGTAAGGTCGTGTGTGTTGTTGCATTTCCTCCTGCTCACTATAAAGATCAGCTAAGATCAGATTATTTGATGCTTTATCTCAGCATTTTATTCCTTATGATAATTACCTGTGCCTACATTATCTTCTGAACAGCCGACCTGCACAAACAGATCCTGAACATGCCAACTTAGAGAGACTATATGCGTGCACGACAGCTGTGATGAGACTGAACACCAGACAGGCATAGATGGGTTCAGACAGAGCACACGTTGTCCCTTTGTTGAAAAGCAAGTATGACAGTTTGATGTAGGACGTGACAAACGTGTCAGAGAGAATTCTTCCAGTCGTGAAGTTGACATCACCTGTCAGTGGACGCCGGATTGGGGGGTCACGGCGGCTGACAAGTCACATGCCAGAGTTGCTTTGAAAATTACCACCTTTTTGAAAGAGTGTGAGGCGATAATTTACGTCTGAAATGACAGGTGGTTGATGAATCGCTGAGGATGTCGTCATGTAGGATTTCACACCTGGTGTCAGGGCAGGTGTCAGCTTTCCGTCCCCCGTCAGACAGGTTTTGCGGGGACTGTTTATTTCCATCATGGAAAAATAACTTCCTCCAAACTTACAGTTTACACAGAGCACAATCCGCTGTTGTTCCAAGGAATTGTGGGAAAAAGCACGTTGGTACATTGGCTGCGTACCAATTACAGATTAAGTCATTAATCTTAAAAAAACAATGAGACATCTTTTATCTTTTGTCTGTCTGTTGCCATATTCAACATGATAGACACATTTTAAATCTTTCTGCTGGAGGTGTGTCACAAAGTTTTGTACTCAAAGACCACCCAGTTTGTGATGCTGATCAGAATTTCTCACATTTCTACAAAGTGGAGCATGATTAGCATTGTAGTGTAGATTTGGATGTCACTTTACATCTTTATTTTGGGCAGATGCTCTCCAGGAAATTGATAAATACTTGGAATAACTGGTCTGACCCACGAGCCTGTATGCATCCTGGGGTTTTTTCCTCTGATGTTGCTCAATACTTCAGAGATTCAGCTGCTTAAAATCCTTTTCCTCTCAGATAGATGACGTCTGCTTTTACAATGAATATCAACCAACATGCTTTAGTCTTAATACGACATATCAAATCTATTCTGGACTTCACACAGAGACTTTAGGCTCTGATTTGAAGGACAAGCCATTATATTTCTGCAAGATTAGGGACACTTCTGTTCAGTTTCAGAGTCCTGGCACTGTGCTTGCTAGTAACACCTGCAGTTTTCCAACTACAACTGTCTGTCTGTCACTTATACTCGTCACTACTTTAAGTATAAAATGTCTGCTGTGGAAAAGGCCAGTTGGCATGGGCTGATAACTTGTGACAGCCACTTGTATCCTCATCGTCAGGTTTGAATGACTACACCACTCGCCTTCCTTGTTCATGGTTTTAAAAAACATTTGTAAGAGAGGCTTAACACAGGGTGTCACACGGGTATCAGACAGTTAAATCTAATGCCTTTTAAGACCCTTTAAAGACATCTTTTACCCAAATTTAGTTTAGTTTAATTTAATTTTTGGATGAATCATGTTTTACTTTTTTAAGCATTGCAGCTAAGCATTGCAGGCAAGTAGGATATATGTGGTCTTGTGCAGAGTGAGTGTTATGTAGGAATATGGTTATCAGAGTGAGTTAAGTCAGTCTACATTTTGCCAACAGGTAAGTGCAAGTATGAAGTAAAATGACTTTTATTTTAGATTAGAAATGTGGGCTTTTACATAGAAAGGCTCTACTCATTATCACAAAAAGAAATGAATAAATAAATTAGATAAAATGTTTGTATTTAAGATGTCACAAATTAAAATGTAAGACTATTTAATGACGTTTAAGGACTTATTGTTGTGACATTGAATTTAAGACATTTCAAGACATTTTAAGGACCTGTAGACCCTGTTAGGAAAAAAATATTTGGATTTAATTAAAAATGTGTATGTGTAAGACAGACAAAATATATATGTGATCAAAGGAATCTGCTCAGTATTTTATAGACCCGTGTTTGTAATGTTATTCTCTACAAAATGTGTTTCATTAGTGTTTTTCCTGGTGGGGCAACTCCATCTCCGCCAGTCCATCAAATACAGACAATTGGTCAGCGGCCTTTAGTGTAAGATACCGACACACAGAGGTACTATTCTTTAGTGGCAATAGGAGATCCCCCTGTGTGGAGGCATTTTTTGATGCTCCGAGCAACCGCCACAATATAAAGCGAGATTAAGTTGGTATAGGTTGCATGGGAGACTGCAGTTTGTGTCCCACATGGAACCATAAGGCAATCAAGTTGATTTATTCACAGTTTGGTTTAGATCAGTTGATTTATAAGAGGACAGTGTGCAATGGCATTAATCATTTACAAGAAATGAAAACATGGTTCCATCAGACATAGCGAAACGCTAATTTCCATCTGTGGTCCTTCACATAACAGGTAGATAGGCATGCTACCATTTTTTCCCCCGTTAAAGGGTTTTTTGGGGGGAGTTTTTCCTTATCTGCTGTGAGGGTCCAAAGGGCAGAGGGATGTCGTATGCTGTAAAGCCCTCTGAGGCGAATTGTGATTTGTGATATTGGGCTTTATAAAATTGATTGATTGATTGAAATCCTTGTGCCTAACATAATAGAAGCAGTATGTGCACACTGCAGTGTAGAATACAATATAGAATGCACAATAACTACAGTATGTAAGTGAAGTGTCACAGTGGTGAATACTATACTAGTGATGCCAATACATTTTTTTTGCCTTAACCTAATAAAGTGAACAAAAAAGGTTTTTAACTTTGCTAGTCGTTTATCTTTAAAAAGACAGTATGCTTTAAACGAGCAGAAGCTGTACATTTCCTGTGAAATGGAAATCTGTTTTGAAAGAACACAGTGCATGGCATGAGTGTAAAGTGACACGCTATCCTGTTCAAACTGCCTCTGGAAGTTTACCTAGAGTGCAATAGTTTGACATGTAGGCCAACTGACTAAGCACCAGTATGTTTTATGTTTATTTTATTTAGAAAAGGGACAGTGCACATTAATTAGCATGATTAATTAAGTCATGTAAATGTGCCAGATTTAGCCATACAGGCTCATTTTCATCGGCAGATTGGTGGCATGTGCATAGAAAGGCACATAAGCAAAGAGCAAGCACATAACCATAGACATGAGCACATGGGCATTTGACAAGTTGGGAGTGAGAATGTGTTGGGTGGGGGAGTTCAAAAAGAAAAGGCACATCAACAATCTCTTAATAAAACAGTAATTTATTTTTGACTGAAAACTAAAATTGTCTGAACAGCACATTACAAGGGCATTGTTAAGATATCTTCTCCAAGGCTCAGTGATCACTTTCATACAGTACACTTGGCATGTACACGGCATCTCCTTCAAATGGAAAAAAAAAAGAAAAAAAAAAATCTAAGGACAAAGGAAATAAGCCCGTTTGCAAAACAAAAAAAAGAAGGAAATCAAAGAGTCCATCCTGTAGAAAGATGACTGATTGTACAATTACCAAGCATTTTGGTTTGGTTCTAAGCCACAGAGAAAGAAACCGGATCGCCTGGCGACAGCAGACGACGGCACAGGAGGCACAAAAGACATGACACAGACAGGACATCCCATAATATGCTCACACACAATCGACTGGGTTCCAGCTTTTCAGTGTGAAATGTTTAATAGATTCTGTTGTTTTGTTTTTTTCTTTTTTATGCAGGTATTATTTTTTTCCTTTGTAAGCAAAGTGTTGGAACACTACAATCGAAATCTAAATGCTGCATTCATTAAATACATTAAAATTTGCAATGTAACAAAACCTTTTTCTCTGCATATGAAATTCAACACAGCATTTACATGGAAAAAAAAAGATGGCTCCTTTTCTAACTAATGTTTTGTGCACGGGGCCCTTCTCTCCATCCGACACAAACACCTCGCTATTCTTTTTTTTTTTTTTTTTTTAATGTATTATTATCCTTACCCTCGACAACTTACTCTGCCCCTCTCCGCCCATTGTTCCCTTTCTCTTTCATAAATCCTTTCACAATCGTTCACAGACTTGACATCTCGACAGAAAAATAAGAGTGCTGGATAAAAACATGAGGTAAGAAAGTGGTTTGATTATAGATCATGCAGAACATGCATAACAGCAACAAAAAAAAAATATAGGGAAGGAGAGAGTAGAAAACAAATGAGTGTGCATTTAAAAATGGGGCGGGGGGCAAAAGAATTACACAGCTTTGCGTCTTTGGTTATAAAGTAGGTCGAACTATTTTCACAGCTTTTCATCCCCCCCGACCGAACCCCCCAAATTAATTTCTGTTTTCTTGTTTTGACAAAGAAAGTCTAGAAAAAGTGAAACTGATAGTTTTCTTTATCAAAACATCCCATCACATCTTAACAACAGGTGTTCTCCTGTACAAACCCTCCTTTGCTCTTAATACTTTACACTTTACAAAATATACATTCAACCTGGATTTCATCTAATGTAAGCTCGCTTTAGTGTTAGCACTATTTCATGGAAAGAAAATTGTCTATTATGGAACTTATTGCCTACTTATTGAGATCTACTTGTTGCAAGAGACTACCAAATTTTTAATACCTGACAGATTCTAAAATACCAAAAAGACCAAAGAGAAAGGTTTTCTTTTTTTGTGTATGTGTTAATGAGTATCTCCATGACATTTCATTTACATTATGAAAATAGCAGCCCTGAAATAAATAAATGCAAATACTAAAACTGAACTAATGAAAAAAAAAAAAGTATTATGATTCATGTCAAAGTACGGTGGCTCTGAGAAAAACAACACAAGCTTTTGTTGCAGCATATAACAAGCCGAGGCTCTTGACTCGCAACCCGGCATCCTCCTCCGCTCAGGGAGGGTGAATCTTCTCCCCCACTTCTCCCTCGGCGCTCTTGCCTCTTACAGCCCTGGAGCGAGTGGGGTTGGGGACACTGGGAGGACAGTCCCTGCTGGATGTTACAGGACCTCGTTGGGCCCTTGCAGGGTTGCGCCGCCCTCTTCGACAGCTTGTTGCCCCAACGAACCGAGCTCCCTGTGCCCTTTGACCCCATCCTCCTGCACAAGAACAGCATGCAGTTTTATGTTTGATGGTGTGCACCGGCACCCCTGCCCCTCCTTCGTTTCCAGCTTTCTCGCAGCCAACCGTGGGCTCAGGATAAGACTCTTCGAGGGGTGGTGAATGTCTCAATGATGTGAAGCCCGGTGACGGCAGCGTGCACACACTGAAGCATGGCTCTTGCAAACAAAGATGTGGCTGTTGTTGATTTTTCCTTGAATGGAGCATATTGAATGCAGGGCTGAGCCTTTTGCTTTATGAAGCTGAGGGGACGGTAGCAGTTGTTGTCTTTACTAACAGGATCTTCCGCTCCTGTCCGTGGGAGGTGTGTCTTTAAACGCGTTTACTGGGGGTAACGGGGATCACGCTGAAGTGATGTTGGGCTGGTGAGGGATGCTCTGACTCCCCTCGTGGTGAGCCGAGGGGGCGGTGTTGTTGTTGTTGTTTGTAACGAGCGGGTGTTGGTGTTGCTGTTGCAGCGGCGGCGACGTGCTGCTGCCTTGGTTGAGCTGATTAGTCAGCTGACCGAGCTGATCCGCGTTGGCCAGCGACTTCAGCACGGCGTTCTCGCGCTCCAACACCGAGTTCCTCTCGTAAAGCTCCTTGATCTGCTCCTTCAGCACCTCCACCTCCTCACGAACAGCGTACATCAGGTGGCTCTTCACCAAATCCTTAAAGACAGGGAGAAAAGAGAAACTAAAATTTGCACACAAATTAAGCAGAGTCCATCCTCACACACGGGAACACATGGCATCTCAGAATTTAAAGGGTTAGGTGTGATTTTTTTAATAAAATGTTGCTATTTTCCTATTGTCTGACTAATAATTGATTAATCAAAGGAATAATCGACACATAAATCCAGTGCTAGTAGCAGCCACGGATCTTTTTTAGCACTAAGGTGTCAGTGCTGTGAGGTGTTCTGCAACTGCATTTTCAAAAGAACACCTGTCAATCAAACTGTGTGAGCAACACAAGTTATTTGTTTGATTTTCTAAAGCTGCTTATTCACAGCAAGTGCAGAAGCTTTCATCAAATGAGTACAGGTTATTTCATTAAATGCCCCTCAGAGTGAGTTTAACGTTCCTCATCTCTGAGACAGTTGTGTCAGCAGTGAAACACTCATTGTGTAACAAGCTGCTGCACCGGTTACAAGAGAATGTGGGTCACCTGACCTCATTTGTTGTAACTGTTTACATCTGCGGAAAACTTACCATCGCTTGCTCAATCTTGTTGTCGATGGCTACGACGCTGGCACCGGATGCACTGTGGAGAGAAAAGAGCGAGAGTTACCACCAAGATACTCATCTCGTCTACCTCATGCTTTAGATTGAATCAGCTCTTTCACAATGACTAAAGTCAAAATCTGGTCCATGAAGTGACGACTGTGACTTCAGGGAATTCACTGGTATTTTAGAAGTAAACGTATCTGATAGTCAGCGTCTATTTCCAGAGAATCAGATGAACAGATTAGAGTTTTAAACATTTCAAAAACAGAGAGCAAAAATAAATAGCCCACACTATTTTTAGTGCACGTGACAGAAGGTGTCAAAGATGAAGAGTTTCAAAACCAACAAAGAGCTACTGATACACGACGCAAAGACAGACGTTACAAACACAGGGCTGTTTTTAAGCATACAGGTCAGACTATACTGATCACCATATTAGATTTACATGTTGAACACCCCTGTATGTATCCATATCCAACAGCCCCTGACCTGAACAACACCCTAAAGCTGGCCAGAGCTGCAACCATTAATCAAGTAGGCATGCATTCTTCACTTAGTAACCAAATAATTTGATAATTTTTTTGTTTGTTCTTCTTTCAGGCCTCCTCTATGCCTGTAACCTGGATATTTTTGGGTTATGGAGAAAATTAGACATTTGAGGACATCATCTTGGGCTGTGGAATTTCACACTGCTTGACATTTATCACCACTGACTGACATTTTATAGACCAAATAACGAATCAATTAATTGAGAAAATATTCAACAGATTAATTGACAATGAAAATAATCTTTAGTTGCAGCCCTACATTGAGCCACAAATCCTTTAATTGTCAGTGTTATCTTGTTTGGAGACACTTTGCTAACCCCATGTGGCAACACAAATAAACCTGACCAGGTGTTACTTCCCAGATGTGCCTCGCATGACGTCTTTCACCAGTTAAACCAAGTATTGCACTCTGGGTACCCTACAGTGCAGACTCTCATGGATGAATCACAGCCATATAAAAGTATAATACAGTTCTTTGTGTTTTTTTTAACATTCAAAGGGGTTTGATACACAAAGAAGCGCTGTTCATTCAACATGTTTCACTAAAATGTTGCCATGCAGAAACAACAGCAGGAGCCTTGATAACAAAGCATCTGGAGATTGTTAAAATACCGACATTTCAACGGATCACGGTCTTATCAGCTTTTATCTAAGCAATGAAGCCGATAAGAGACAGGGAGTGTGGCTCCCCTCCTGCAGGACCTGTGTTCCGGGCGCGGCTGATGTCGCCAGCACCAATCCGTTTACATTACCAGTCATTGTTCTTCCCTTCTCTGCAAAAAAACACATTTTACCAAGTTATGGCCAAATGTGAAGCACCCACACTGCTATCTGCATCCCACTTTGTCATCACGTTTCCAAAATCACTTCAGAGCATCGCAACATTTGGTTTTCCACCCCCTCCCCCCTCTGAGGAAAGAAAGGAAAATCGTGCCCCACTCTACACATAAAAGACAATCGACTTACTGACCCAGGCTATGGAAACCCATACGAAGAAAAAGGATTCCAAGTTTTCCAAGGTGTGTCTCTGGGAAAGACCAAAACCCCAATCGGGATCTTTATCCGTCTCCACAGATAACGTGCTCTCTTGCACAATCGCCGCCCTGCACGGATGTGGATGCAAAAACAAAAGGGACCGAAGTGCCTTCATGCCGCTAGAAGGTGCTCTGACCATCAGTGTGAGCCAGGAGAGGGAACATTATGTGCAGACATCATCTTACAATGTGTAGAAGAAGTGTAAACTAACTTTAGATAGAAGTTACGTGAGAAAACTGTGTTTAACTAGCGATACGGAGAACAGATTTCCTTGAGACACGTCTTAAATCCACAAACGCAACAATAAAAAACAAATAATGGAAGAAATTTGCAAAGTGAGCCAGAATCAATGACTCCTTCATGTGCCATGCATTCATATATTTGGAAATGTAAACAAAATTCGTGTGCGTAAAAGTGAAAAGATGCAAAAAATTGAACCAACAGCAACCACTGTTGATTTTGCTGCAGATTAATTTAAAATACTACAAAACAAAAAGATGAGCATCGTGCATCACCCCACAGTTGACAAACAACATCCCACAGATCTCCAGGAGCTCCTCCAGCACGTCCTCATGGCGTGCTGGAGCGCACGTACAACGCGTCCTGGTCAATCGAGGGGGGGCGCACACGTGCAAACACCAAACAGATGCTTCAGTAGTGGGAGAGTATGTTGATGTGCTGCCACAGGCAAAGACAACATACCAATCGGCTGATGGCATTCAAAAAAAAAAAAAAAAAAACACGCGGGGCACAGAGCGACAGCAAACGGCAACTGTGCCTGATTTCAAAATTGGATGAAACACTTGGCGGCGCATGACTCATAGTGGAAAAGTTCAAATGAAGATGAGAGAGGCACAGTGAGAGTCTAAGACAAAGTTTTCAGATAAAACCTTACATTTCAAATATGGATCAGGGCATCAGCAAGAAATAAAACCAAATACGCAGTCGATACAAGCAGTAACAAGCACGCAGAACATATGAAAGTATTCCGAAGGTAAAACGCACGACAGAGACGCACATAAAGCTCCATTACCTGACGCATCTGGCTCTGTAGGACATCAACCGCCCTGAATATGTCGGCGAAGTTCCCGGCGAGCAGGGCAAACTGTAGCTCATTTTGCTGCGCATTTCCTCCAAAGTTTCTTTAAGTTTCTCCAAAGAGTTTCCGCTGTACTACTCCTCTGAGCGTTCACACACGACTGCCTCTTCTTTGCATATGAGCAGTGTGTGTCTTAAAACCCCGCTCGGTCACATGGTGAGAAAACAAAGGGGCGGAGTTCTGCCTCTCCCTGGATTCCCCTCTCTGCCATTTGCATCTAAGGAAGACTCATGTTCTAATTACATTATTCACTGTCACTGTCTGCCAAAAATTATACAGCGTGACCCCACAGGCACAGAACGCCTCATTCAAAAGCAGCAGATTAAAAAAGAAGACAGCGTTTTGTATGTACAGGCAAAGAAGTCTGGTTGAGTCGGAGGATTGTTTTTACAACCAAATTAGTCATTTAGTTGTTTCAAACTTTTACTAATGTAATTATATAGTACTGAGGAAAAGATAAATTGTCAAATATGTATAAACAACATCGAAAAGAGGTGTGAAATGCTGATTTTGATGGTTATTTTTCATCTGTACATAAGCTTAATGACAGAAACTCAAAGACAAATGAGACCACTGTAGATTTCTATTGGTCACGTTGACATTAAGATGACATCATTGACATTAAACATCATAGCTCATGCTGAATCGACTGTGAATGCACATGTCTAGCATGTAATTGAACTTGTAAGGCAGCTTTCCGCAGTCATCTCATCTGTCAGGGCAATGCAGAGGAAAAAACGTGACACAAGTAGGATTGAAAAATGTCAACTTACTTGTTCAATAATTTAACTTGTTGAATATAACATCTAAAATGGTTTGGAGGTATGAGAGGTTTGGAGGTCATCTACTGTACCATGACAGATCCTCACTGATGTGATGACAGCAAGGTAAATGAGTTGCATTCCACATGGGGCGACTCGCTCTGTTGTGTGGCCGATAAATAACACAAGAAGTTAACCCTCCGTTTGAACTTAACATGTCTGAGACAATGAGAGAGAGGAATGTCCGAGAGCTTCGGCCGAAATGTGTTTTGTTTTTTAGCAACAAAAGACAATTAACACACAGGTTGGATCAAATTAGCTGTGAGATCTGTCCTGAAGGAGTTACAAGACATGTAGGGAGACAAAAAACACATTTGTTGCCATTCGGTGTCCAAGGAAAACAAAGCAAACTGTACATTTTATTCAAGGAGGAGGACATGTGGTGATTTATATAAGGACCGCTTGCTGTGTTAACCTCAACACGGGCCTTCACCGCAGTCACACATGCACCCCCCGCCCCAAACAAACAGGACCACAAGGCAGCGCATTCCAACTCTGGACACCCTGAGGCCAGTGCCTCTAAACCGAGACATCTGTGTCAGAGCCACCATGCTGTGACAACACACAGTCCAGTCAGGACCAGTTAAATCAGTACAGTTTTTGGTTCTATACACACTAAATTAAGTTTCTCAATCATCAGCATGTCACCTGTTCGAACCCAAGCTCCTATGCCTGCTCACACATGGCAAACCGCTCCTGAGAAAACGTATATCACTGAATCTGACGGTATGTTATGACGCTATATCACAAGAGACACGTGCAGGAGCAAAGCGTGGTCTCCTCCGTCTCTCTGGGTATATCACATGATGTCTTATAGTGTCAGACATTCAATGAGTTCTCTATTAAGGCACTGATGCGCCAGCACACGTCGCCATTGCAAAGCATGCCAACATTGACTGTAGGGGGGAGGCAGCTGAATAAATTAGACCTCAGCCTTTCAGCGATACCCCCCTTCCCTCAGTAAGTGTACTTCAAAACATTAGCTGGAGGGTGGGGGCTAAAACAACAGACGAGTGTCTTCACTGATGACTCACTGTAATTCTCTTTCAGATGCAGAAACCTGCGTTACGGCCGGCTCTTGTCTTTCACTCTAGGAGATGCAGTTCAGCTGCTGCGCCACACGAGGTCGGCAGAGGCTCCGATAAGTGTGACACAAAACCTCAGTGAGAACACAAAGCAGCTTCAGGCAAGAGCAGTTTAGATGATCACAACGGGTGCACTGTCATGGCAGATTGCAACTAGAAATTTCCATTTCATCAGGACATTTTACAAGCTGTTGTTCCAAAACATCACCCCTTATTATTTCTGTTAACAAGACAAAGTCATTAAATGGTCAAAGAGATACTGTCACAAAAGCTCTGATCTTTCATTTCCATTTGTAGTTGTGGTGTAGCAAGTGAAATTTCTGATACCGTCATCAAAATGCTATAAATGAACATGGAAATGTATCATGTTCTGTGAAAAAGGTTCAGAGAACTGAAAGTGGCTTCTGTTTAAGACTTGCCAAAAAGGTCACAACTACTGCATGACCCTG